TCATTTCTGATACCAGTTACTCCAATCGTCATAATCTTCGAATCACCTGGTCAAAATCACAAGATCCACTTGCAACTACACCTCTCCCTCAGGTCGAATATGCCTCAAGTCCGAAATTACAAAGCTTTACTATGGTTTCTATATCCACCCCTGACTCCCGCCAGTCTGAAGCGTATATTGCTACAACTGCATTGTTTCTCATTTTTGGGTCGTCAGCAAAAGAAGATAAAGTTTCTCTCCGTTTACCAGCGGCATGGCGTGATCTTTGGACCGAATTTGCGGAGATTAAGAAGGAAAAGTCGGATGAAGAAGATCGAAATGCTATCAAGACGTTCCGTGATTTGGTTCGCGCAAAACGAGATCAAGAATTAGAAGATGGTGTTTTGATACATGGCGCTTTCCGAAATCGAGGAGCCATCAGGACGACTGGTAACGAGGAAGCTTCCATAGACAAAGGTCCCAAAGCAGGATTCCCCTCCGAGGCATATCAGAGAATTTGGGTCGAAAAATCCTCGTCGCATAGTTATCAGCACATGCTTCAGTCACGAATGCAGCTACCTATGTGGTCATTCAAAGATGAGGTACTCGGTGCTATAGATCGCTCACAGGTAGTTATTGTTTGTGGTGAGACTGGATGTGGAAAGAGTACGCAAGTCCCAGCATTTATTCTAGAGCACCAATTGTCCAGAGGAAAGCCCTGCAAAATTTATTGCACAGAACCTCGACGTATTTCTGCAATCTCTCTTGCTCGCCGTGTGAGTGAAGAGCTGGGCGAACGCAAGAGCGATCTTGGCACTTCTCGCTCACTGGTAGGCTATGCCATCAGACTCGAGTCCAATACATCAAAAGAGACTCGACTTATATATGCTACTACTGGAATCGTGATGCGAATGCTCGAGGGGTCAAACGACCTTAGAGATATCACGCATATCGTCCTTGATGAAGTTCATGAGCGCACAATTGACAGCGATTTCTTACTTATCGTCCTTCGAAAACTATTGGTGCGGAGACCGGATCTGAAAGTTGTTCTAATGTCTGCAACAGTCGATGCCGATCGCTTTTCAAAATATCTAGATGGCGCTCCTGTCTTGAATGTCCCAGGCCGTACATTCCCCGTTCAAGTCAAATATCTAGAAGATGCTGTTGAGCTCACAGGATTTTCTCTAGATAATGGTTTGCAAGAAAAGTATACCGACCTTGATGACGATGTCGAGCTCGCAGATGACGTTTCAAGCGAGACAACCAAGAGTGAAAGTACGAAAGCTCTACGAGGATACAGCAACAAAACTCGTAACACTATTGCACAATTTGATGAGTATCGGATCGAATTTGATCTGGTAACGCAATTAATTGCAAAGATCGCTGATGATGACCGGTTGGCGCCGTATAGTAAAGTAAGTTCCGTCCAAACCAATGCCCCGATTTGGAACCTTTGATGCGAGCCAGATACTCTGATATTGCACCAAAGATCACATCCAGTCTCAGACCTTTGAGTATCACTTTGAATTATGCTAATTCCTTAAAGGCCATCCTTGTATTTCTTCCAGGTATTGCTGAGATACGAACCTTGAATGATATGCTTTGTGGGCACCCAGCATTCTCGTCAGACTGGTATATATACCCGTTACACTCCACCATCGCAAGTGAGGATCAAGAAGCTGCTTTCCTTGTGCCGCCACCTGGTATCAGAAAAATTGTTCTGGCTACCAACATTGCTGAAACTGGTATCACTATTCCAGATGTCACTTGTGTGATAGATACAGGAAAGCATCGCGAGATGAGATTCGATGAGAGGAGACAGCTATCTCGTCTATTGGAGACCTTCATTAGCAAGGCAAATGCCAAACAAAGAAGAGGTAGAGCTGGAAGAGTGCAAGAGGGACTCTGCTTTCATCTTTTCACTAAATATAGACACGACGAAATCCTGGCCGATCAGCAAACCCCAGAATTCCTCCGTTTATCCCTTCAAGATCTTGCCATTCGAGTCAAGATTTGTAAATTAGGTGGCATCGAGGAGACATTGAGTGAAGCATTGGATCCTCCGTCCGCTAAGAATATCAGACGTGCCATTGACGCGCTTGTAGATGTTAGAGCCTTGACAGCAGGGGAAGATTTAACGCCTCTGGGTCTCCAGTTGGCGAGGTTGCCACTTGATGTTTTCTTGGGAAAGCTTATGCTCCTTGGTAGCGTTTTCAAATGTCTCGATGCAGCAGTAACAATCGCTGCAATCCTATCTTCAAAATCGCCATTCTCTGCTCCTTTTGGACAACGACAACAAGCGGATACTATCAGACTCGCCTTCAGAAAAGGTGATTCGGATATTTTGACGGTTTATAACGCCTACCTAGCTTGGAAGAAAGTTTGCATGGCAAATGGCTCCGAGTATCAATTCTGTCGCAAAAACTTTCTTAGCCAGCAAAGTTTATCGAATATCGAGGATTTGAAAGGGCAGTTGGTGGTGTGTCTTGTGGACTCTGGGTTTCTTCCTCTCACGGAGGCTGAGAGAACTGCTCTGAATAGGTATGTTAATCGTATGTGTTTCCTGAATACAGTCTAATCAATATAGAACACGTTACTCGAGCCGCCGTCGACAATTTTTCGAAATACCCTTCAGAATCAATGCAAACAGTGACAATGACATCATTGTCTCTTCTGTCATTGGCTGGAGCTTCTATCCAAAGCTTCTTGTCCGGGATGGTAAGGGATTCCGCAACTGCGCCAATAATCAATCTATTAGTCTGCATCCTACCTCTGTAAATAAGGGTCATCATGAGCTCAAATGGCTCTCGTATTATCATATTATGCAGGCCAAGCAGTAAGCTCTCTATCCTAATGTTATCTAGTTCCACCACTAAGCCCAAGCAGATTTTACAATGCCCATGAAACCACAGCCGTAGAAGAATTCTCAATTGCTCTACTCTGCGGAGATGTCCGTTGCGATGTAAGTTCTATCTAAGTATATCGTTAAAACTTCCCGCTAATCTTAATATAGATGTACGCCGGTGTCTTCATACTAGATGGTAATAGAGCTCGATTCGCTGTGTCGGATTGGAAAACGATGCTTGCTATTAAAACAATGCGGGCTCGTCTGCGAGATATACTCACCAAATCTTTCAAAACGCCTGGAAAGGCCCTCACAGCACAACAACAAAAGTGGTTGGATTTATGGCAGAAGATATTCTCACAGGAATTCAAAGATAAATAGAGTAAACTGGGTGAGATTGGGATTATACGAACGGGCCGTTATGTTTTATTAAAGCCACATAGGCTATGCTAGATACCTAAAAGAAGAGTGTAGTTTTACCAGAATACCATATATTGTAACATGTATTCTCCAGCCCAAAATACCCATATCTGGGTGTGTTTATAAACTTCTCAAACCGATGTTTCTGTGGAGTGACTTTTCATGTATATCTATGTACCTTTGTTTCCCTGGTGGTGTTTGTTATTAAATCTTTGATGTACCCCTCTTTTGCATGATGCCCAAAATTGGACACGACAGGCACAGATAGATAATCATTCTTTTTCCTTTAAATGACAATAGAATGGCGAGCGAGCGGGACGTGACAGTGTGAATAGATTGCCATATACGGACCTCAATATTTGTGTCATATACATGATTCGGAGATTTTTAAGTCAGTTGAAATGGAGAATAAATGAAGAAGTGTTGTTTGATATTCACTTGGATTTCGACGTTGGGTTTCTTTGCAGATGTGGGAAATCTAATATTTGATCATGATGAAGAAGACTAAAACTTCGGATGATGACCCATTCAATACTATAAGGTTGGACTGAAGGGTTGATCGCAGGTGTTGAGCGGTAGGATCTTCAATATCCAGGTTTAATTTGGAAATTGGTGGTTTTGATATTAGATGGTAGTGTAGTACTTTGATATGCAGACGACCTTAGAGAACTGGGAGCTACTATCAGATGGTCATGACTCTAGTCCTCGAGGTTGGGATGGACAACTCATGGCTGATATTAGATGATAGTGCCTTCAATATTCAGATGGAATTGAAACACCAATGACTAAAAACCAAATGATTACGCTTTCAACGCCTGAAGCTGAGCTATCTGAAATGCCACGATGATAGCCGCAGAATGCTGCTCCAGGATCACATACTTTGACTTGTGTAATATTCGAAGAGGTAATCTTTGTAGATTTTAAAACCCTCGCCTTAGACTTGTGAACTGGGTGGCTATTATCTTGTCTCATGGAACAGACCAGCAAAAATACCTAATTACTGGTGCTCAAAACTCCAGCATATACCCTTCGAAGATTCAGCGACTGGTGCTAGGTTATCTCGAACGAATTTACATATTAGTGGGTTCTTATCTGATATTACAAATTAGAAACGAAAGTTTCTTCCTTTTCTTCTTGCGAAATCTCAGAGTTGTCGTCTGGATTAAGTCCATTATAGCTTCGAGTGCTTTTAATGTCATAACGCGTGTGAGCATACTCATTTTTGGAATTTCCAGGCATCAGCTGAGCCCCTTGATTGCTCTGCTCCTTCATGGAATTTTAACGACTCTTGTCTAATACTTCCAACCAACTCAACTATATTTACTCAAGTCAAACCAAGTATTCAAGGAATATAATTGTATGATCTGCTTTAGGACATTCTGAGCGCCATATCATCTCACATTGATCTGAACTATTAATTAATGTTATTGTATCATCTGTTATAAGATCTTACAACAATCAAGACTTCATATTGTCTCATTTTGATTCAACAATTCAAAAAATGTAACTGTACGACTTGGGTTGCACTAATCACAATGATTAATTGTCCATAATCAACCTAAACCATCAACCACTGTAATTAAATCACCTGATCTGCAATAATGAGAACATTATATTGTCTCACATCAATAACAACTATTTATGAAGGGGAAATCAGGTGTTTCTCGACAAATTATTGAATCTTAGTAACTAGTGGCTATTTAACGCCTACATATCTGTCTAATATACATCTATTGGCCCATTTATCCCCCCCCTTTCACTCAAGTGCAGCCTTTATCTGCCTCTCACTTAACCCAGGGCAATTTCTCTTCACAAAACCACGAATATTAGACCCAATAGGCCCAGATACCTCCACTTGCTTGTCGCCAATTGGTCCGCTAATTGTGATAGCCATGCTGTCGGTGCTAGCCTCCTTAGCCGCATTCAAATCCTTCAATCTAGAGGTCAAAGCCCCCATATTGACGAAGCTAATCGTGATGACCTCACGAGGGCCTCCTGGAAGTCGGGTAGGAACCGAGCTGGGATTGCCTATTTGAGCTGAAGAATGGCTCGAAATAGTGAATTTACCTCTGCCCGGAGCATAAGGGGCGAAGGATTTGGTGGTTTGTTGCTCAGAACTCGAATTTGGTGCAACCGGCTTGGTAGGAAGGGAATTTAGAGCATTCGCCATGCTAGGAACCGGAGGAGAGTCAGCGCTGGAGCCTCCAGAGTCGTCGAAAGAGAGAGCTACAGCTTGCTTAGCAAGACTGGCATCGTCAAAGTAGGAGGCGTTGTGTTCTTTGTCTTGCTGATCAGTCCATGGAACTCTCTCCATGGAGTAGCTTTGGTGGGCTTCTCGGTTCTCTGTGATACAAACAGAGATTTTTGATAGTTTTTGAGCAGATCTAGCCTTGCGCTTTCTGGCTCGAGTACCAGATCTCTTCGACATCTTGGCGCCGGAAATGGTTGTTGGGAGAGATGGTGGTTGTTGATCAATATCTGGTTCTTTAAATAAGATTGTGCCAGAGATTCCCTCATTGCTAGCTTCCGAGATATTCGTAGATGCCGTAGCCGTAGCGATGGTAGCAACAGCACTGGGAGTAATGGTTGTTGAAGTTGATGTTGCCATGGTATTGTTCATTTCTTGCTCATCCATCAATCTCTCAAGCTCCTCAAGAGACATTAATTCATCATCCATTGTAAACATATTGTTCGGCGTATGCTAGCTACTGGCAGCTAAATTGATGGTACCGTAGTTCGTGAGAGATGGTGTGCGAATGAGAATCAAGGAGAGGCTTTGCGCTTGAGAAGACAAGATAAACAATGTACTCGTTTAGGAAAATAGTTGCTATGATAAACAAACGAAACAAATCAACATCACTTTAGAATTACTCCTACTTCTATTTTCAGTGGATTCTATAGCCATCTACTACGTTAATATGGATAACATGAGATTTCTCATGATGTTAATTTACATACATAATAGTCACTTTATCTACTTTCAACTATTCACTTATATATACTAGAACATCCTCCACCCATTCTCTTATTGCCCAAACACACTTTTGACGTACCAAGAAGCTCACTCAACTTGAAACGGACATCGGCAAGTGTATTACAATCTGTTTTGAAGCTTCCATGCCGGAAACAAACGTGAAAAAGAGAGATGATGGTGCTAGAGACATATGGCATGATATCTGCTGAGAAGAACCATGTTTCACGAATATGTTTGCAAGAGGATATATTCTTATTGCGCCAATATTCGCGGACTCACGGAAATGGAGTTTGAATCATTACTGTTTTTAATATACGTATTTATCTAACTACATGAAGAAAATACGAGAAAAGTCCTGAAACCTGGACCTTTCTCACGTACATCTCTCCTCTCATATATCAACATCTGTCCTCAATTTCGATGGTGCACATGTTGCGGAACTAGCTCAAAGATGATATAGAACCAAGTATATGCGAATTTCTTCCTAGAATCTGGAGACCACTATAAGATAATATTTGCGAGTAGAATTTGGCGCCTCCTTCGACCTGCCAACGTAATTGAGCAGTCTCTGTAGGGTTCTGAGCTTGTCGACGATTACGACTCGCCATGCCGTTCGACTCCCGGGACATCCTTCGATTTCCATCACTGTTCAAGATATTTCTTTCCGTGCGCCAAAGGGACCATTCTCGGTGCCTTCAAATCGATCTCGTGCTCCTGATATGTATGTAAAAACTACATTGTCGCGCTTCTTCCGCAGCTATCTGCCAGTATCTCTGGACTGCGTTCTATCGTTTCTGCTCCCCGCTTTGGAAAGAAATTGGGCTTCGTAAAATGATAATCTCTGTTTCAATTTTTAACCCCTCCTAAGATAACGAATTGCTCACTCTACCTTGATGCTAGGCATTACATGTGCCATTCTTTGTAACATCTGCAGCTCCAGTGTCAGAATTTGGCTTTGAGATTTACCGCAACTGAAACGCCTGTAATAAGTTTAACATATCAAATACACTGTACACTTACCACAATTTTGTCTTCCTCAGCATACTTCGTTGACTTTTAGGGTTTCCACAGCAGGTTGACATTGTTGATGGTTGTTCCCGAAGTTCTGCCGCCCCTTTCACAGAAATGTATTCTCGCTTCGAGGAAAAGCCTAGACAGGCAATCAATATCCCTGTGAGTGACCTTTGCCATCAAATCCAACTAATGTAGATGACACCTCAAGATTTTGTTGTCGCCAATTGTTTGCTTTTGTTCGTTCATTTTTTGTAGTCTTCATTCACCATTTACTATCGGTTGGAATGGAAGAGTAGAGATTGTGATTGTAAGTGAATTGTTTGGTGGTTCTGCAGAAGAAAATTTTCACATTAGCAAAGACTTGAAAGGTGATAGGATATACTGCACATATGATAAATGAAAAATTCCATCGTGTGGGTTATGATGAGTTGTGGAAGCTGGTGCGAGTTGTAAATGTAATACGCAGGATATTGGAACTTGCTGGGCGTGTCAATTGTTTCGGAAAGCGTATTCGTTTTGTGGGCAAGTCAACATCTCTTGTGGTTGAGATTATATTGAGTGAGATTGGCATTGGTTTAGAAGAAACAAATTTGTAAGGAAGATCGCAACTCCTTGAAAATTCAAACATGAAAGAAATGATCACATTTGAAGTGAGTGTTGATCAGACTGATATTCACAAAGCCAAAACCCAGCCTTCTGAAAAATAGACAAGGCTGAGCTCACTACTAACACACTCACATCTCAGCCTGTTGGGATCAAAATACACTAGATCAATTTTCTTAGGGGAAAATATTTAAGGTGAGTACTAGATGCGCGCCCTTTTACCTCTATCATCTGACATTGAAAGAAATATATGAGACCATGCTGAATATAGAGATACTTTGCGCTTTCGGTCCGGTTCCTCGAGAACATTTCAAAGCAGCAATGCGGTCAAGAGATGTGGCGAATCAACGTTCTCTGGAGAAAGCAACAAGTAGCTAACCATTATCCATACCTTATAATTTCTCTCTGGATCTCCAGTCCAGGGCTTTCAGTTAATTAAAATGGCGCAAGATTTTCCATAAACTTGTGTCTTTCGAGACACAACTCCTCGATCAGGAAAGTGACTCTGTGGATTGAGCAGTTGTTACCTCAAAGTCGTGTGTTCTAAGTCGCATCGTCACTTTGTTGGCACAAGAGGACGGATTCTCGCTATTAATATCATCTACAGATCGAGGTATAAAGTACTTTTCGTGAAGACTTGCATTCTTTTCATTGGACAGAAGATTGAGAAGCTCTGGCTCTGGCGCCGTGCCACAATAGGCAGCAAAGTTGGTCCATTCATCGAAGTTGACATCATTTGTTGGATACGGAGGACACTCCAATGGAGAGAAGCTGGGATCTTGAGGCGACAGATTTGAATTATGTGTGAGGCTAACATGAGTATGTAAATGCGAATGCTCTGTGTTGCTGCGCGGGAAGTTAGGACGAGATTGGACAAGCTGTCGTTGGTTTATGCGAACAGGGGTCTCTACTTCGGGCAAAGAAGACCCAAGAGGCTGATGAAGTGAAGCTGAAGCTGATAATGGAGAGTTTTCGTGAGGTTGAACCGCAGAAAGGCTGCTTTCATCTCCAAGATTCTCTTCCAGGTTATAGTTTTCCGTGTTAAAGGGTGGATCTGGTGATGTAGACTCATTGTCGTCAAGCTGAGTGACTAAGAGTCCATAACTGTGAAGTGTTTTGTCCATTGTACTGATATTCAATAACGAATATAAGATACAATGGATCTAAATGTAACTTTCCAAAGCTCTACAGAAAGGTATTGTGAGATTCCAGAGAAAGATCGCTATGTGCCTTTAGACTTGTCGAACACGGGATTATAATTGTAAAAGACAAATGTAGACTTGGATCGGACTGAAGAAATTGGTAGGCGGAACCTTATGTGTATTAAACACTGTTGTCTTTCAGATATTGAAACTTCCTTTAGTAAAATTGATGCAAATCAATCCAATACATCCAGTATCTTAGAGAGCTTAATATTTAAGTATGGTTCTTCTTCAGCAGTATTACCACAATACCTTCCTTTGAATCATCAATCTATCTACTACGACCGATTGAATCAGATGAGTAGGAGTTGTTCATAGGTTGTTTGTTGGAACCTGAATTCTAGAAGATCACGGCTCCATCAGATATGACACATACAATTGCGTACCATTTGATATACGGCAGCGCATCCATAGATATAAAGACTCCCATTGAACTTATTGTACACATAGAAAGGAATCATCACAAGGTACCGTACACACATTTCTATTACATCACAAACGCACTGGTGCTGATGTACAGTTTCCAGAAACAGCCAAACAATTCATTCCAATCGCCATCACGTGTTACGCGCACTTGATCAACTCATCATGATTCACTTCTCTCTCAGGGCACGGTACCACATAACTGAAGATATCTTGATCCAGAACAACAAAGTCAAACATATTCGGTGGTCAAGCTGTTATATGCCTCGACTCCTACTTCTAAGATTCTTATGCTAATAATTTCTCAGGGTAGGATTTTATGGATCGACAAGTCCGACCTCTTCGGAGTGTGACTATAAGCAATTGAATTTAACCTGCTCTGCAGAAAAAAATCAACATCAAAACCAACAATGGGACCCACTACCTGGCTTGTACCAGGGAACCAGGACAAATACAAAATTTGGTGGTAGCGCGACGAGAGGACACAATTGGTAAGAACACATTCCCTTCCAAACAAACAGCTTGACCACTGTACAATATACATTTTTTGCGTTTTGTTCATCTCGAAGTTTTGATTGTATTGCAATTGCAAATTATTCCACGTTACTATTCTCCAACGCTTTTGTGGTCCTGGAAGGTAATCGGTGCGCAAGGACTGAAATCAATTGTGATATGCTGCAGCATACATGCGCAACTAATTCTTGAAGTCGCTAAGAACAACATCAACAAACATTTTTGAATCATGAGTGTGAATACTAGTAACATGGCCCCTCACAATGATCATACTATGAACCGGCAGCCATTTCCAGCACTTCGAGCACTTGCTCTTTACTAGTCAGAGGTACAGCATTTGTAGGTAACCACCTATCTTTCAAACAATTATCCGCCAGTGCATCCAATTGCTCCTTCTTCACACCCACATCCTTCAGTGTCCTCGGCATGCCAAGCTCGCGCACGATAGCACCCACCACATCACCTGCATCTGAAGTTTCTCTCTCCAGACCATTTCTCTCGAGTAGCTCCTTAACGGTAGCCTCCTCCCACAAAACGTCAAGTACTTTTCTTTGACCGTCAATAACTTTCTCGTCATTGCTGCCATGCTTTGCATTGTATTTCAATACATGCGGTAACATGATACAACTCGTCTCGCCATGGCCAACACCTAGTGGTCCTAACTGATGCCCAATTCCGTGGCTCCCGCCCATCGGGATACCTCTACCAACTCCTTTCATTGCTTCCACCACCCCCCACATTTCCTTTAATCTCGCGTCCTCGTTTGTCGGATCTTTCTTAGTGATTAACAAGTTTGGTACAAGCAATCTCAATCCATTCGAAAACTCCTCGTCGCTTCCGGCGCAAACATTTTCATTAAGCGAGCATAGTCCTTCAACACAATGATCTACGGATCGAAGACCAGTGCTAAGCCAGACATGCTGAGGAGTAGAAATACACAGGGGAGGAGATAGAACGATGAGAGATGCGCCCATTGATGGGTGACTAAAGGACACCTTTTGATGCGTCGAAGTATTGGTCGCGCCAGCAAAGGAAGAGTACTCCCCACCAGAAAGAGATGTTGGAATATTGATTATAGGGACTTGACATGGCTTTAGACCCGAGGTTTTGGCCTCTGCCGAGAGAGAATAGAATTCATCGGGAGTGGATACATTGTTTGCTAATGCCTAGTTCCGTGTTAGGATATCCCGCAAGGATTTTTATCAAAATTAGGGGGTGTAAAAGCATAGGGTGGTAGATCTAGTACGCATAAAACCGCAAAGGTCTAAGGCTGTCCAGAATTTTGGATTTTACCGTTAGGTTAGAAAGCACCCTGAATAAATGAACATTCTCAACGTACAAATGAAATGAGTTTTGCTCCGTCAGTAAGTGATCCAGCTCCAAGCGTAACAATGATATCTGCTTGTTTCTCTCGCATGTCTTGTACGATCTCCAAGACATCATCCCATGGTGTGTGCGGCTTGATTCCATACCTGACGCCCACAACCAGATTACCAAGGCGTTCTTTGAGAGAGCTGAAATTGGAAGTCTTGCTGATAGAGTTCGATACAATTATGTAGACCTTCGAGGCATGGAATGTATCTTTGATGTGATGGGCACATGCTTCAGGAAAGGGGATGCCGGTTGAAATGTGGGGCTTGGATTTTGGAGGAAATGCCGGAGTGTAGGTTTCATTAGGGGCTGCCATTGGGTCAAGCTTGTTATGAACGAGTAATATAACGAAAGAATTGCTTCCTCGAAGCTGAAATCCAGATGCTTGGATGTGATACAAGATATTCCTTCAAGTAACCGACGTTGGACGTTGACAATAATCGACTGATTATTAATCATGCATAACTCACATGTAAGGTTAAACTTGCCGCCGAACTGCCGACAGTCGGAGAACATCGCAACGTCAACCCTCTGGAGACACATCATGCCATGTCCTTCTTGACGTTTTGCAGCAATTCATTTCCATTGGATCTGGTAAAATGATCTGGTTCTCACGTTCATTGCCGAGAATGAAATGATAGGTCTATTTTTTGCAAAATCTTTCACGGCTCACCAATTTTTTTCGAAGTACAAACTTAGGGTTCTAATTAAGCAATACCTATCTAGGCAGGTGGACGAAATACTCGAATGTCGCGCTGGATGTAGTCAGTATCCTTCGAATTGGAGGTAGACACACATCTTTTCTTCGAAAATGGGAGGCTGGTAAGTGTCGATCATGCTCAAAGGTCCATAACGCAATCGGTCTGTCGAAGTTTGATTGGCCATGATCCCAAAATCGAGAAAGTTTTGGTCGAACCGGATAAAGAGGATTTGACACCTCCATGTTTTGTTGCATATCTATACCAGGGTGTGAAGACTAGTTGAAAGTCAAATACTGCTTTATTGTTTTCTGTTGCATATCTGTACTGGGGTACAGGGATATAAAGGTGTTCAGATTCCTGGTCTAGACCCAGTACCATCCGCATGAAGGCAGCGTCATCGAAATCTGTACTTCAATCTGGTTCTATCGAACCTATCTATAAAATTTAAAGGGATTCTGGTTCATGAAATGCTGCTTTGCTATTTTTGTGGAATTTACCAGTATCTGTACCTAAGTAGCCAGCAGTTATCAAGACTTGCATAGTGCCTCTAGATTTTAGAAGTAAGCTTGAGCGCAAGACAGAACCTCATTTTCCGAGATACCAGGCAGGATGACGTATAAAAATTCAGAGAGCAACGTACATTCATTCAATGTCGATTTCCGTAAAATCATCGTTCGAAACGTGGCTTCCCAACGGCCATGATATACTTCACCGAAGCAGTGATCAACTATATTGACTAGCTCTTTCTAGCTTGTGTTCTTCGCACTAACCTACCAACGCCTTTGATGAATTACGCAACCACTTGGTGAGTTTCTAGACCTGCGAGAGTCAAAACGAAACGTTGAAGAACTTTAAATACTTACACCAACTCAAACTAAACCTACTCAGAATGCCACGATTATGTTGCGAGACACTTATGACAATACCCCTAAAGTGGGCATTTTACTACAGCGCTCAAATCAAGACGTTTCGATCCATGCATGTCATTTTGTGGAGGCTAGGAGCAGGTTCCATATCAGATTATAGATCTACAAATGGACAGGACAATCAAATTAAAAAGTAGTATAATTGGAAAGAACAGCCGAACTGAAAGTAGTAGGAAGGGCTAAGCATTGACCTATCACGCACTGACATTTGATCTAACGTTAATCGATTAATTTGGATTTCTGACATATCACTAAACTTGAACCCAGAACTTGAAAGGTGTCCACCATCGAATTTTCATTTCAGAAAAGTTGGAATCGATCTCAAGATGAAAATGAATCGCCGAATTCTGATTCGCTGGCCCCTGGTGCTCATTGTCCCTTTCTTAATCCCCAAATTCAATCGCAAGTGAGACTCAGCATATGGATATGGCCTTGTGTATTGGCGTGGTATGCCGTGTAATCCATGGTCTATAACTTAAGGGCCATAACCTGGCTGCCTTTATTACTCACAGAGGAACCTACATTTAATAGCGCGGATGAAGTTTAGAGATCCTTGAAGATTGCCAATGTAGATTGCCGCGCTAGGTGGTTAATTTGGAAAGACTGTTATTCTTGACCAGTATGTGGCTTCATTACATGAGGTTTGTATCGGTTAAGAGTGGTTGGTAAAAGAAGTCCATCTCAAACTTAGCGCAACCTAAACAAATTGGACGAGTGAAAGTAAGAGTTGGGGGATTATTCGAAAAGTGAGGGCAAGCTGCACGTTATAATACTAGAGCTATTTTCTCTTCTTTTCCGGTGCCATTTAGAAAACCGTGAATGTAGTACACATATTTAGTTAATCAGATGAGAGTATGTCGTTTCGACTAAGGAGAAACTTTTGGAAACTAGTTGATGTTAGTTGGGTCTTCAAGTTTCGTTCTCCGGTCCCAATTCAAGTCAGAAAAACACTTCCATAAGCTTTTCGGCACGATCTCGAGAAATATTCATGTCCTAAACTTAACAAAGACCGAGATCAGCAACCTCGATCAACAATCGCTTAGGCTAGCTACTCTGGATGCCTTGAAAATTTGTTAGAAACCGTTGCTAGATACTTACGCCTTCCAAAATAAAGATCTATCTGACAGTATCTCTTGATCCAACTCTTACGGCAGGCGCTACCGAGAAAAAAAACCGTAGATCTTGATACTAGGACTTTCTAGTCACATAAAACAGTTGACTTTTGAGGCAGTATAGTCTACTATGAATAATATCTTCCTGTTCATACTGTCGACTAAGCCCCTCTTAGTTCAACCATTAATGAATTCCAACAAGTCACCAACTTTATACGCTACTTCTCATTTGTATTTAAACCGTAGACACACCCATACATTTCAAGATTTGGATTTCTATCATACATTTCACATTCTACAGATAGCTGACAATATAAAAGAATAGACATCCGTCTTAATCTATCACCTATCAAATACTTGCCATTCAATACCTTGACACTTGAAGATATTCTTCATACATCTCTTTAAAATCTCAGGGACACTGGTTGAATTAGGAAGATTCAGTTCATATTTGTTTCTATTTGATACCAACAACAACAACAACAACAACTACTACTACTACTACTACTACTACTACTACTACTACTACTATCTAATAATTCGGCACTTGAACATATTCGTCCAAATTCTTTAATAGTAATATCTTCAACTATATTCATTTCCGTAAGTCACCATCTTGATTCGAAATTATTCACCACCAAGCCCCTGGATGCTCTCTTGATATCATCATTTAGTATCGAGGCTATCTATTCATTCAACATCACTCAATCACGGAGAGAGTTCAAACACAACACAGCTTTATCTTATAGTAGTTAAAGTCACATCTATTAACAGATATTCAAGGTACATCTAGCCACATACACATAGCCATGTCTTCTCCAAGTTCTGTCGAGCAATGCTTGCAAAAGCTGCAATTGCAGCAACAAGAAGACATCGACGATGTGGATGTGGAGGATACAATTGTATCACCACTTGTGAACGACAGCGCGTAAGTCACCTCTCTATGCCTTGCACCTGCAACTCATACTCCCCTAAGCCCCCTCGGTTATGTGCGAAGTTGGCTAACTCAAAATAGCGATGTTGTCGGTGCCTTTAAAAATTGCCCAGTCGATATCATCTTGCAGATCGTGAGCGAGCTTGATGTCGTTTCCAAAGTGTGCTTCTCGCTAACCGGGTCCCACTTCCGAAGAGTATTCAAGAAGTATTCCGACGTTGACAAATACATCCATGGTAGTTGTCACCCTTCAATTCCCGATACCTGCTATGCTGCTCGGTTGTCCTTGCCTCTCAGCCTGCAGGTATCAACGTGCGGAAACTATATCTTGGATATGGACAAGCGCTGCTTTGACTTTCTGCCACTTCATGATAGTCAAGTAGAATGGTTCCCGACTCTCGCGGACTTGCTGTGGAACGAGAACTTCTTCTGGAGCGGCGGCGCACAATGGTGCGACGGGTGCTACAGAGTTCTGCCACCTACAAGTTGGTATGAGTGCGCGATGGAGAAGGAATTCTGGGACCTCGTCGAGAACCCCTCGTCGACCAAACTCCCGCCTCATGAATATATCATCGATCTTCTTGCAAGAGCTCTTGTACAAGGAGTCAAGAAGCGTCGCGCGGATTATTCTTTCATCGGTGATCCTGACAGCTTTATCCCGCAGATAAAGGCCCTCAGCTACGGCGGCGAACATTACGAGTCTCGAAGAAACGATCATGATCTGACTATCTGCGCAAAATGCAGAGTCAAGAAGATCGTTACTGATAACGGTCGCAGACAAGAAGCGTGGACCTGGGGATCGAGGGGGTTGGAGGACACTGGAAAGGAGGCCGATGGAGTCGGTATGGTCGGGCACGGTAAGAATATGGGACGGATTGTGTATGCGGATCATTTGGCGGAGCCCGAATTTGAGGATAGCTGGATGTATTTCGTACTGTGGGAAGACATCCTGAGAGAATCTGGATTTTTCGTAAAAGAGTACGAGAAGGTAGAAATGCCGTCTTCGAGAAGTAAAGTCTCGAGATCGAGGACTCTTGAGTTGACAGATTCGGATTGGTAATTACAAAGTTTTTGTCAATCAGTTCAGTTAAAGAGAGGTCACGGATACGGTATCTCTACCACATTGTAATTTTTTACAATAAGAAAAGGAAAGATGAAGGAGCCCACAGTTGATACCCATAGCTAGATAGCTAGATATCTGTTTTAGCATAATCATACCCATACCCAGATATTTAAACATGGTCGTCCCATACGTCCCATATGCCATCCTACATCCCATCCTACATCGTCAAATCTAGAAGACCTAGGCGAAACGTCGGCCGCCAAAATTTATAGAAGAAGTTGAATAAAAAGTCCTACCTTTAATACAATCAGGAGTCTTTGTTCAGATTTTTGCTATCAGTTGCCACTTCCCATGGATAGGATTCGCGTCTAATTTTCGGACGGTGTCTCGTTCCGAGACTGATGAGGGTGATGCAACAATATAAAGAGAATCACAGCGCAGAAATATAATCCGTCCACCAAGCTCAGGAGCTTGTCGGGACCAACTGCCTTGGCGCTTGGCGGCTCCTTGGCGGTTAATTTGCGAAGTTTCTTTTAACCACACCTGTCGCGAGCGAGTCATTGCTCCCTAATTTCACGATACCCCCAACAATGGTTTCATCTGAGTGGATGCCATGTAACGGTGTAAGCGCCAAGCCGACGTCGGAAAAATAATTAAGCTTCCATAGCCGCCAAGCTTCCAATCACCACGTCCCATATGCACATGACGATGTAGTACAGCTTTGGAGAAACCACGGGGGAATGTCTGGGCAAAGATTGCAGGCTCGAGTTAATCGCTCCAATTGCTTTCGCTTTTCAGGTCGGTACTCAGTAGTATCCGTCCCGAAAGTGCATGTATATGATACTAGCACAACAGACCCTCAAGGGTTGTTTTGTTATCATGATCATCTCGCTAGCTCTCAACATTTTCTTGCTGTTGAGGCTCAAGATGATCTCGTGGTTTGAATCTGATCAGCTTGGTTATGGAGCAAGAAGAGTTCTTCCGTTCGTATTCACAAATTGTTTCCTCGGCTCCCTCAATTTGTGAAAGAAAGCGCGAATTAAGCTGCAGTCTTTCTAGAACATGCCAATCAATGATTTAGCATCTCGTTCCAAGAAGGGTATTTACTCTCCGGAGTATTTTATGGATCTATACGAATTCATCGGCGTGGAGAAATTTATCCTCGAGTGAGGTGCAGGAACTCCGAATACTCCACAGATTTGTGACTATATAAGAGCCATGATGCCATACTGAATGACCATCATCTTCATCCTCTGGCAAGCATCAAAGCATCGAATTTATCTACACACAGCATCGACTTTAATCATTCACCATGGTTGCCACGCTCAAACTTGTAAGCCTCATGGCAGTCCTCCCCTCGGCTCTCGCCTGCCTAGGCTACACTGGAGGCGTCCCCAAAGCAACTTCGACCAAGACTAACAGTAAAGTCATCGAAGTTGCTGCTGGAAAGACCTTTGACGGTGCTTGGGCAAGATATGATCGTGGATCTGGTGCTTGTTCTGGACAGAGTGAAGGAGGTAAGTAACACAACTACTCTGATACATGTGAAATCCCTCGAAAACGAGACTAACACTCTCCCTCAGATGACTCCGAGGCGGTCTTTCTCCTCCAAGACGGAGCAACTCTCCAAAATGTCATCATCGGCAAAAACCAAGCTGAAGGTGTTCACTGTGCTGGAGCTTGCACTCTCAAATACGTTTGGTTCGAAGACGTATGCGAGGATGCCATTTCCATCAAGAGTGACAAGGCTGGTGATCAATCATGGATCATAGGAGGCGGAGCATATCACGCCACCGATAAAGTCGTTCAGCACAATGGATGTGGTACTGTCAACATCATCAACTTCTATGTTGAGGACTATGGAAAATTGTACCGAAGTTGCGGAAACGTAAGTTTTTCTTTCCTTTTATGGCTTTTTCCTTTTCATCCCATTTATTCTTTCTCGTTCCTCTCAAATATGCATAACTAACCTTCCCATTAGTGCAAATCCCAATGTAAGCGTAACGTCTACATCGAAGGCACCACTGCTGTTAACGGCGGTGCACTCGCCGGTATCAATTCTAATTATGGAGATACCGCCACGCTGAAGAATGTCTGTTATGATACTTCCCATGCATGCCAAATGTTCACTGGAAACAACAAAGGCGACGAGCCCACCACGGCCGGATACTGCTCTGGATAAATTATTTCAGATGAACATTCTGAGTGGTGAAGGTAAGGAATATATGGAGAGTGTTAGTCAAAGAATGATGGATGGGCTTTTGGGTGATTGTTGTTGTTGTCGTTGTTGTTGTTGTTTTTTCCCTGTGGATATTTTTGAGAACCGATTGAGTGTTTGTACATACAGTAGAAAGCAATACATATCTATACTACTTTATCTATTTCAACGTGCACATATCAGGACCACCTAATAAATTATTTGCATCTAAAACCCAATAGAATATAAATGATTTTTTTAACATCCCTAGGTACTCACCCCGTAATCCAAATAATAAAAAGTAACCACCATGCTCCGAGTTCATGAAAATGATTGAATCAGTTAATAATACTATATACCACTTGGCCTAACAAATCTCCAACATTCATTCCGTCTGCTCATTCATTATTCAATAGAAATTAATCAATCAATTATAGCATGTCTCATTCCCCAAATTAACTCATACCCAACATCCCTCACGTTAATTATACTGACCCCTTCATACCCCATTAACCACACAACCCCTTTCTTCTCTCTCCCAAACCTCTCCTAAAAAAACGCAGCAGCCACCGCAGCCATACCCCCAAGAACCCCCATCATTCCATTAACCCCCACAATCCTCTCCCCAGCCCCACTACTCTGGCTACTCGTCGACTCTGCCGCACTCGCCGTGTTACTTGATGAGCTCCCTCCAGTCGTCTGCGTCTTCGCAGTAGTTGTTCCACTTCCACTTCCTGCTCCTGTTGCCGTCGCTGTCGCTGTCGCATCAGTTGCAGCGGCAGTCGTAGACCAATCTTTTGAGATCGCAGAGGAAGTGGTAGTTGATGCGTAGGCTAAGGCATCATTACAATAGGCTTGTTTGTTGGCGAGAACCCCTGTGTAGCCTGTGTCGTTGGGGCATACATTATAGCAGCTATTAGGTAGATAGATTAGTTAGGGTCCGGGTCAATCATACTGCAAAGGACGGATGAAGAAAACTCGGAAGGCAAAATGGAAGAAGGGAAAACATACGTCAAGACTGAATTCCAACTCGTGCACAAACAAAGATAATCGGTAGATTGACACGCCTGAGCAATTGCCGTCGTCGAACTCACACATGCATCGAGAACATTCTGTCCCTCGCACGAAGAAGAGAAACCACCTGTGGCCGCTACTGTAGTCGTAGCAGCAGCACAGGAAACCAAGGCCGCAAAAGGAAGAGTTGCTTTTGAGAAGTGCATTTTGGAAGTTTAGTTTGAGATTTTAGAGATGTAGAATGAATGCAAATGAGATGTACGAGTATGGAAGTATAAGTGCGAGTACTAGACAGGTAGTATATGCGAGAGTAATGTAGTACGTGTTTTTTGTATAACTTCAAAATGATCAATTGATCTAACGGTGTGATATACGCGGCACAGGTAAAAAAAAGCAGAGAAACAGAAGAAACTTCACATCGCGCATACATCCAATATAAATATATAAACCATCTCCTTCCTTTCACCGTCCAAAAGCCAACCTCCCCGTGTGACCAACCAAGACATTCCAGCCAAATTAATATACACTCAAAAGCAAAGAAACTCCCCGGACAACCAATATATCACAATCTTCAGAATGATCTTCGGACTGCTTCCCCATGCTCTTTTTTTAAGCATATCCCGCATTGATATTACCCCAAAATACCTAGAGTTTCATTGGTGCACTTCCGAAAAGAGTCTAGTCTGTGTACATAGACGACTTTAGGTTGCATGTTTCAGGGGTCGCCGAGCAACCATGTTGCCCACGTCGTTCAACATGCCATGCATATTTCTACTTCCAACGTACCTCCATACATACATATACGAAGTAAATTGTTACCGTTGGTCGAATCAATAACACAAATAAACATTCGAAAACTAATTCGAAATCGACTACATCAATGTATGCATTGCATTAGGCATATTGCGGACGGGGAAACCTCTACGTGAAGAAGTGAAGAAGCGGCCCGAAGCAGAACTCCAGAGATCTACATCAATTAGAGACACAAACAACAACTAAAGACCACTAGTTTCGATAACTTTGATTTAATGCTTGTGCCGTGCCCATTCTACACTCTACCCATCCACCGAGATTATTTCTCAACACTTGCTTTTTGATATGTTTATTCATCAAGTCTCAACAGCATGCTTCGCATTATATCTTTGATTGCCAGACCTATTGTTTAGACTTGGATTGCCCTCAACAAAGTACGCTTTCGAAAATTGTCGCTCGAAACAAGTGCGCGTGATCAAGAGTTGATTGGATTGGTTACTAGTAAGCTGTCATTATATCTTGTGTCCCTATTCTTTGGCAAATGCGACCTACCATATAAAAGGTCGTACAGGAGGCTACACCTAAGCCCCAAATCTTGCTCAATGTTCTCTTCATATTTGATTGGGGATGGTAGATCAAGGAAAACCATCACGGATAATTCATAATGGTAACGAATGATCATTCTTTCTAGTGCTATACCCACTAAATACAAGGTCATCAGATACTCTGAGCTGGATTTGTTTTCTTTCGATTAATGTATCAATCGTTACAATGCATTTCCTAACGAGACTTGAGCCATTAGACGGCTATTTATTCCGGATAATAATTCATACCTCCGATCCATTCCAGGTAATATAAAAGTTGAGAAACCTGGACTTCCCTCAGCTTGTATAGAAAATAACACCATGCAGAACCAATGAAACCCTTACAAAACGTAAATCACTCCTGTCCAAATCCCATTGTCTCTTCTACCGCCATCGTCAATTTGGTTTGCAACTGCTCAAGGTTCTTGTATGGTGGAAGATCCAGTCGGTTGAAACTAATTTATGCTGTTAGTATGTACGATATCTAGATGTTTAGAGGTAGCTTACCAGGTGTGAGATTTTGGTAAATTGTTCGGCTCTCCTTGCTTTTCAATTGTGAATCTTCTCGGCCCATCACTACCCTGAAGATCTTTAAATCCGTTGACAGGAATACGAGAAGTACCGGTAGCAAATTGAAGAAGGCGAGATTTCTGTTCTCCATCCCAGCTGCGGATCGTTTGCCAGAAAAATTTAATGACCTCATCAGATTCTGTGTATCCTCTATAGTCTGTGTGCTTCTTCCAATCGTCAACATCAATTTCCGCAATACCTCCAATCAACAACTCAAGCTCTCTTTCATCAAATACATTAACAAGCTCGGCTGGAATAAGCTCATGGAAACCAGTGATGAAAGCTTGGAATTGCTCATCAATTCGCTTTTGAATCCTCCATTTGACCATCAAATCAACATACTCTTTTTTATTCTCATCTGTGACTTCAATATCTCTTCCGCCCGGTTTAAGGTCTTCGACATTTGTAACACCAAATCTCTCATCTTCTGTTGAGAATGTCTGGTCCAGAACACCTTCAATTGGATTATCCAACATCCATTGAAGACTTCGATGGAAATCGGCATCAACTCCCTCCATATCTTGAAGGGAGACTGCCTTATTAAGCATCATTTTGTACAGGGCACCAATGAAAAATGCATCCAAGAATCGGCGATGGAAGATGGCCAAACCAACCACTCTACCAATAAATTTGAAGTAGTTAAGATGTTCTGGGTTAATTCCGGAGTGGGGGTTGATTTGAAGAGTATAGTTATCGTGAGCAGAGTATTCGAATAAACAATAGAAAGGATTGAACATTTCATGAGAAAGAAGGAAAAAGAATTCTCTCGATAATCCACCATAATCGAGACCATCTTCTCCATCAAATTTAATCATAAGACGTTTCTTTAAATCAGTGGCAGATTGACGCATAATTTCAGCGTAAGAATCCTCGAAGATATGTGATCTTCGGATCTTGACATGGCACTGACCGGAGAGAATGCGCAAGGCTGGCTGTGAACGGAAGTAGATAAGCTTTCTTCTGAAATCACGTTTGTATTGCGGTACGTTCTGATCTAGCGAAGAGGGCAGTCGCGGGTCATCCCAGGTAGTGGTTTTGGTGTTGTGATCCACAAAGTAGACTCTTGCAGTATTTGTGAGTCTCATTTCCCAGCCACTTGGCAGAGGACCAAGTTGTGAAACTGGTTGTTGTTGAATGGTGTTGTTGGCATTTTGACCACCATACATGCGGATATATTGTTGACGCCTAGGGTCTACCCAAGTTGTGGTTCGGGTGTTGTGATCCACGAAATAAGGACGGCCCTCGGGAGTATGTCTCTGTTCCCAGAGTGGTGGAAGTTCCCCGGTTCCTGCAGTTGTAGCTCCAGTAGCCATCATTGTAGTCGCAGCAGCGGTGTTAGCACTACTGCCAGCTTGTTGCTGTGCCAAATTTGGTGAATTGGCACCGGTGCGATCTTCAGGTAGAGTTCGGTTCTGATGTCGTTGACGCTCCACTTGAGTGTTAGCATTTCTCTCGTCCTGCCTTGTCTCGGTTGTCCCTGATGCAGATGGTCGATTCCAACTTGTAGATCTTGTGTTGTGGTCGACGTAGTAGGTTCGTCCCAAGTTATCTTCCCGTCTTTCCCATCCAGCGGGCAATCTACCCTGAGCATCCTCGAATGAGCTCAAACCGTTTCGATGTCCTGCTCCTGCACTGGCCGGAGGTGCATTGCTTCCGCCGCTGCCTGCAGCGGGTGCATGCCCTGGGGTTGGTCCATTTGAGACAGCTCCGTTTGCCATAACGACTCCTTGTGGTTGAGGAGTATGAGAAGCAGGCGAAGAAGCAGCGTTTGAGAAACCAGATACAGAGCCAGTTGGAGTATGGATCGGAGGTCGGTTGCTTGAAGTTGAATGGTCGTTCGTGGGCGGGGCGAGGCTACCTCCTCTTGGAGGGGCATCTAGATTTGTGGAAAGGCTTATAATAAGTTTTCCGTGTACCACAAGATTATCCGTCGATTTTTTCAGATCTCGGGTGAGCATTTCTGTGTGATTGAATATAAGCCCCCAAACGTGAATAGTAACAAGGGGAAATATCACGACTCACGATCTTGGGGAGAAGAAAAGTCGATGACATCTCCAACACGAACATTTATTACACCTAAGAACCCTTGGTCCTTCTTTTTGAACTTTTTCTGGTCAAATATCTGTACTGCCAATATGCTATCTTCGTTCGCACGCCTAAAAGTAAATCAGCCCAGAGTCTTCCTTTAGAGGATATTCCATATTCACAGGTCGAAGATCTCGTTCCAGTAAGGATTCAGAGTCCTTTTGATAACAGCGGTCGTTTTCGTCTGCTCGCCACTCAATGTCGCAACCGCAAAAGGGTCCGGAAATCCTAAGTCACACGGTTAAAAACAGTTGTCTTCTGGGGAGGATCGGTATCTGTACTAAAAACATCACGCTTGTACAAGCCGTCGGCAGCAATTACTGTTGATGATTAGTATATCAACTGACGTTCAATTGCCGAACAAGCCTACTAGTTAATCGCAGGTTGGGCTGCCTATAAGTTTGTCAGTTCTGTTCTTCTCCTTGTATGACAGAGTTCCAAACATACGCTGGAAGGCTTGAGTCTATTCTGCTACTGCTGGCCATCGTAAAGGTTCGCCAGCGATGGCGGGATCGTTTCTTAGAGCGTCAATGATAGATAACGGTAGAATAGTATCGTAGAATACTTTTGAAGTTCCCTGGGTTTCAAAGGTTGGCCGTGGTGGAAGCTTTGCGCTTGTGTCAATTTGGGGCTGTGTTAAGTAGAGCTGCAAAAGCCCCCTTACACCCAAATTACGAATCTGACAGATTTTGCGATTATCGTTATCGATTCAAGGATTCGTCATGCATGAAGGCAAGATAATGAAGAGAATATTCGTAAAAGGGGGGTTCAATGTATTGATTGAGAAGAGGAATGGGAGTTTGGTCAATCAAATCGTCAAGGCGGCACAGAATGCCCCCGCTAATAAGGTTGAGAATTCCTCAGGCAAAATTGATAATCATCCACCTATTTTTATACTTCACGTCATACCTCTTTAGCCAGACTTCCAGGTTCTCTACCGTCAAATGAAGAGACCCAATATTCGTGGATATGATGGCAATTTGCTGCTTTTGCACCAAGATTTTATGAGGGTTGCGAAGACTCATTTGATATGACCAAAATCGAGTCAGATTCTTCCAGGATACGAAATCCTTGAGCATATCGTGTACAGAAGAACAATGTGCCCTCCAACACGTGAGTAAGCAGTGTTTAACGTGATATTTCAAGGTAAGGAAATAGCCCCTTCTAGATTTACCTTGGGCGATTTAGGAAACGAAAAACATGAAAGAATAAGGCGATTTAGTATAAATGTTATTAGGAAGGAATTCAGATCCATGGTAGTCAGACTTCTTCGAGTAGGCCCTGGACCTCCTATGTAGCATAGGTCCATCTTCGGTTGTGACGGAACCTCTTGATATGATTAAAAAGCAATTGTATATAAGATAGAGCACGCTAGCACCATATCACTCACTACCTACTCACCTAGTACTCGTCAATTCTGTGCAATCATATTAATGGCATACACTCAAATTCTGCTTCATAGTTGAAGACTATTCATTCAAGATGATCAAGGAACTCCAAATGGAGAATTACAAAGGAGACCATATGCTCAAGATAAACGCCGTGGTATTTTCATGAATAAATCGCTTCTCGAATGATTGTTTGATAATTCAAGAAATGAATTTCCCCCAAATTCCCCATTTTAATGCTATCACTTCGGCAGCCCTCCCCATCTTATCATGTGCTAGAGTAAAGAAGACTCATGCAAAAGTTTTCGTGGCTTAATATGGTGTGAAACCTCTGCCACGGTTGCCTCTATAACCTCCACGGTAACCTCCACGAGGAGAATAACCGCCGCCACGTCCACCACCAAAGAAGCCGCCGCGACCTCTACCGCCTCCTCGTCCACCACGGCCACGTTGCATTCCGGGGACATTGGTACGCTTGGGGACAACCTGTAACAGCAATGAGCTTAAAGTGCAGAGAAATGTTTGAGAGAGAAGGTTTACCTTGAGGTTGCGACCCTTGAACACGCTCTCATTGAGAACTAAAGCTTGTGCAACAAGACTTGGCTCAACAAACTCTACATACGCATACCTGCATAAACCTAGATTAGCATCCTTCTCTTGCCAGGTAGCGTTTATCACAATGACACTCGACACAATCCGTCGAGGTTTTAAGGAGCCAAATTTCGTAGAACGCACCCCTTAGGATGACCGGTAAACTTGTCAAGCAAGATAGTTACACGGTTAATAGATCCGCAGCTTTGGAAGTGAGCTTGGATATCTTCTGGGGACGCAGAGTAATCGACGTTTCCGACAAAGATACTGCGACTATCGATATCCTCCTTGTCTTCTCTAAGATCAGTGCTTTGTTGATCGAGAGTTGCCTGCATTTCTCTAAGTTTGGCAGCTTCCTCTTCCATCTCTGCAACACGGCGCTTCATGGCCGAGATCTCTTCCTAAGCCGGTTGTCAACAATTGGTTCTCGATACAGGATCTTCCACCTCTGAATATACCTCATCATTATTATCATCCTCGCCAGCCATAACCTGGTCTTGAAGCTTTGGATCGGTGTCTGCCATGATTTGGTCGCCTGAGATAGTACTACTGCACTTGTGTAATGTTGTAAAATATTTAAGTAGATGGATCCTCAAGCAAGCTCGAAGGGAGGATGTTGATGAAAAGTAGAAGGTTGCGCCTCTGCGAGGAATCTTATTAGCAAGAACTTTAATAACTGTAACCTAATCACTGAAGATTGCACAATCTTATCGGAGAATGAAATTGAAAGTGAATTGATCTGCTAGCATGATCTTGTATTTCATCCGATGATAACTCAAGCTATTACCAGACTCTTCTCGAATTTTGAAGAGTAAATGTTATTTGACCATTGAGCTGCTTAAAGAAATGAAACGACATCATTATACTAATGGGAAAGCTTGAGAACAACTCACCGAAACTTTCAAATGGTCATAGAATATAGATGCAAAGGTTGCAAATGAAAAATAAATATATTGAGGTTGAGGTTGAGGTTGGTTGAGGTTATTCACAAATCGTCTAGACTTCCACAAGGCTACCACACATGGGCTACCCGCCCATGCCATCTTTCAAGCGCTTGGATAGATAGGTCGGCTAATTCGGCTTCTGCACTCGCTCGTGGAATGATCTTTGAGGTTACCGCCGCCTGCCAGACAGATAAGCAATGCCAAGCCCCTAGCTAGCATTTTGAATGCGCTTGAAGATTGACTTCAAATAGATTGGAGCTACCGGTACCACCAGGTAATGTTTTCCGTGATGAAATCCATAAGACGGTTGGAAGGTGTGCCAATGGCAATGGGATTCAACATAATCTGCTTTGCCATCTTTTACTATTACAGCTGACAATCCCTACTCAATCCAATCTGCAGAGAAGATGGTGTTGGTACAACAGCTGGAGTTTCCTGCTACATATGGATGGATACCTTCCGATAAGAGCTGCGCATACACCGCAATCAGACCTCAGATTCAACACTGTACAATCACATGTTCCTCCAATTCGAAATTCGGATCCAAAATTGGAGTCACTTGGGCTTTTCAAGTACACCGTAATTTCTCTTGCTTCAACCAGAGTTCTCTCTACTTCTAACCACAAGTACTAGCCTCCGTGAAAAGTCTCTCCAGAATTATCGAACATCAAAAGAACGATAGCATTGCCTTTTGGAGCGGAGGGCACTTGATCTTCTATTAAGATAAACAATAACAACATGTCCCGACGCAACTCAGACATTTCCGAACATGCTCCTCTAATCCGCGCCTCCTCTCAACCCATCTCCATTGCCTCTGGACCCTCCTATCACCATGTACCTCACCCTTCTTTTTTCCAGAAGCTCTCAAATAGCTACCGAAAGTCTCAAACTTCCGCAAAGAGCTTCCTATCCTCTCGCGCTCAACACTACACCGTTCTCCTCCTTGTTGCATGCGACTTAATTGGCATTATTTCGGATATAATCATAAATCTCTATCAATGCGACAACGATAAAGAAGGCAAGACGGATCCAGTTTGGAACGATGTGAGAGGTGGGTTGGGAATTGCTGGATTGACATTCAGTTGCTTGTTCATGGTGGAATTGGTTGCTAGCCTTTGGGCTTTTGGTTTGAGGTGCGTATTTTCCACTGGGTCTCTGGACATTGGAGCTTGTTGGCTTCGAAAATCCATTCTCTTTACTAGACTTGGCATGCCAATCAACCCACCATTAAAGTTCTGCTATATATCTCTTCACGTCTAGTTATGTGCCAATACTACTTGTTTCACGTTGAATTCCACTTCCTCGGATTACATAATTCCCTCATGACTTGTTATTACCCAAGCTAACAGAATCCATTTAGCTATTTTCGTAGCAAGTTTCACTGCTTCGATGCTACTGTGATCGTTGCCGGATTCGTTGGTATGTACTATTCACGTGTCTCTTTCTAACCCTATATAATTAATTACTCTCACTCACTCCACCACATTACACCTCTATCCTGTTTTCAAACTAAACCATATTCCGTCTAGTTGATGTGCTACTTCATGGTGTCCTCGAAGAAGTCGTGTCACTTGTGATTATCCTCCGTCTCTGGCGTTTCTTCAAAATTATCGAAGAATTCAGTGTTGGTGCCGAGGAACAGATGGATGGATTGGAAGAAAGAATTGAACAGCTTGAGATGGAAAACAGAGAATTGAAAAAACAGCTTAGAAAGAGAAAGGATGGTGATGAGGATTTGGAGAATGGAGAATGGAGAGGGTCGTTTAGAGTCGGATAATTAAAGGCCATCTGAATGATAGATTCATTATGCGGTAGAGATGGAGATAGTTGCATTTATGGAGGTGTGAGTATATACCCGAACAGAGCATTCTGTAGATGATGAAGGGATAATTCGTTTGCTATATATTCAGATCGAGAGCTCACCTCCACAGTCAATTCCATAGTTGGCTCAAGGGTTCGAGTCAATGCTAGCTTGCCCCTTCTACAACACCATTATTTTGATCAAAAGCTTAAGCCTAAAGATGAGTTTGCAACCGTACAATGAGATGAAAGGTGGAAAGAGGAAATGTCAAGTATCAATTGACTTGAAAGTTCCAGTCAACGGTAAAACTCATTTACGATATGAAAATTGACAACAATATCACCGAGGTGTATATCTTCCCGCTAATCAAAGGTTGACTCTATCCGTACGTCCGAAGGAGATCTCACCGTGAAGGCAAATGTATGGTGTTACAATATGGTGATATTGAATCTGGCATGCAAAAACAGATGATACTTGTACAGTTACATTGAGTCAGACCGAATTGACAGAGATTGCATCCGGGGGTACGTGTCCTGCCATGATAGTTTAGGCATTACAGCTTCAAATTCGAGCGACTTCTTGAGGCCTCCTGTTTACATTCATGAAATCTGGCTCGGTGAGCTCAATTTGGGAACCGAGGCTCATGTAGGCTGTCGCCTTACGCCCTAGAGTAGGCATTTCTGGTTCTTCAAGAGAAGCGGCGGTTGCAAAAACAATATATCTGGCGACGGCGTAATCGAGCGTTGTAACCTTGAAAAAGACCTTTTGTAGCGCCGAGGAAAGATTTCAATCATGACACCTAAAGAAGCGCAGTCATCAAGGGACAGGTACCCGGTCTGACTTAATTTTATCCCCGGATTTCTTCTGTGGTGTACAGTGGAGTATTCCCAAGGGGTTAAATTACCCCAAGCAGACAAATAAAAAGGTCCGAATCGCTAAAAGATGATGTGCGGTCATTAGGCCGTCAGTGTAATATTATTCCAGGTGTGATTGTGTTGCGGCACAGCCCCTTGTCTTCTCCTCGTCTAACGGAAGCCCCCCCAGGCCCCCCACTTACCTAGGTAGCCTCAATCGTTTAATCTATCTTCATCACATCAAATGGTAAGCCATCGCCGTGAATAACCTTAAAGGGGAAGAAATCCAATATCTACAAACGAGGCAACGCGGCGCATTGCACCTGCTCACAGTTTAATTGCGACAAAGATCAGAATTTCACCATGATATTGATTCTACCTTGACAGCGACGACGAGGATATTTCATCCGAAATGAGAAGTCCCAGATTGGCAGGAGGATGCTCATGTTCAAGCGAGCTCGACTTGGTGACTCGATCTTCAAGTGAGCTGGATTCTTCGTATATATAGGCCTATTTTCAGTCTCAATGTTTCTCGTAACCCTTCAACTATACTTTGGAAGCTTCAATTTGCGAAAGTACTTCTGTATTCAGTCGATCATTGCCTTTCAAATATTAACACATTATGTTGCTTCGTGCAATCTTCACAATCCTTCTGGCCTCATGTCATATATATGCCAAAGATGTCTTCGCCCACTTTTTGGTTCGTGCAGCTAGTCCTTCTGAAATCTAACTCGCAACTAATATGCTCAATAGGTTGGGAATGTTGCATCATGGACCACAACAAATTGGATAGCAGATATCCGACTTGCTCAAGAAGCGCATATTGATGCTTTTGCGCTCAATGTAGGATACGGAGATAGCTCGATTCCCAATTCTTTAGCAAATGCTTTCCTTGCTGCACAGACTACGGGATTCAAGCTGTTTATCTCCTTCGATTATACAGGTTCGATTTTTTCTGACGCATCTTTCTATGTTCATGAATGTACTAAATAGTTGCTTCACTAGGTGGCACTGCTCGTTGGCCAGAAGCCAACGTCATCAGTCTTCTCAACACTTATAAATCAAGCTTTGCTTATTACAAATATCTTGGGAAGCCTTTCGTATCAACTTTTGAAGGAGTTGATAATATTGCCGATTGGACTACAATCAAAGCACAAACTGGCTGCTTTCTAGTGCCGAACTGGTCCTCATTAGGTGCACAAGCGGCAGTTGCCCGTGGAACTGCAGATGGATTGTTCAGTTGGAATGCGTATGTTCACACCCTTGGTAACATCGACTTGTTACTAACTTTTAGTAGATGGCCTTGGGGTAACGAGGATATGAATGCATATACTGATGCTTCTTACTTCGTGTCCTTGAATCAAACAGGCGTTCCAATGCCATACATGATGCCTGTTTCGCCTGTCAGTATTCTAATTATAATCACCATCAATAACGAGATTATCATTCACTAACCTCGGGTTTCTCTAGTGGTTCTACACAAACTTGCCAAATTACGACAAGAATTGGTTGTGGCGTGGGGATGATTTATGGTTCGAGTAAGATATCTCGCTACACCACCAGTTTATGTTCAATAGCTAATCTAATTTTCAAATAGCCGTTGGCAAGAAATTTTGTCCATTGACCCTCAACCAGAATGGGTACAAATCATCACATGGAATGATTATGGAGAGTCTCATTACATCGGTATGTTCTATTCACGATCCCCAAAAATTCCAATCTTCTAATCCAAAATCTCAGGACCTCTTCACGAAGAAGAATATGCTTCTATCTTTGATTCCATACATGGCAATGGCCCTTACAATTACGCCGATAATATGACTCATGATGCATGGAGACAAACTCTACCCTTTGTGATTGATACTTACAAAAATGGTATTGCCACCGTTAAACAAGAAGTCGTCACAGCTTGGTATCGACTTACTTCAAAAGACAACAGTGCATGTAGTGATGGTGACACGACGGGGAATACTGCCAATCAGCTTCAGATTGAATTTTACCCTACAGATGTTGTCCAAGATAAGATATTCTACTCTGCAGTGCTTGCTGAGGTTGGAACTGTTACTGTTACTGTTGGTGGTGTTGATTTAGGTAAGTTTCAATTGTCTTTAAAGAATGACACACCCCGCATCATCAAGAACACAAGGCTAATTTAGACTCATTTCCTTAATAGGCGCCACTTGGATAGACACTCCCTCCAATGCCGTCGGAATATACCACGGAAGTGTAGCCTACGGTTCCCACACCGGAAATGTGATTGTCACAGTACACACCCCATCCAGCGGTTCCATAATCTTCCAGGGAAATCCCATCGCTAGCGACTGTTCGACTTGGGATGGTTACACAAACTATAATGCATACACAGGTTTCCAGACCGGTAGTGCTGTAACTGCCACCCCTGCACTTAACATATCAGAACAAGTCTGTATTGCAGGATTTGGAGTGAATAATTTTGCAGGCTTATGTTCTTTTGCTTGCGGATTGGGTTATTGTCCGGTATGTATCTCGAATCTGTCATAGCTTTGCCGAGAAAGATTGGGAATCGTGCTAATTGAGATGATAGTATACTGCGTGTACATGTACAAATTATGGACCTCAACCGACTCGGCCTACTGCGGTGAATACACCGGGATATGGTACGATTGGATATCCGGCGCAGGGATTAACTTCGGAGTATGAGGGTCTTTGCTCTTTTAATTGTTTCTTTGGATATTGTCCGTAAGTGGTGCTCTTGTATCATCTCTTTTGATGACCCAGCCGTCCAAACTTCCCACTAACAAACCCTCCAGACCCGGCGCTTGCGGCACCACAAACTACGGCGTAATTCCCGAAACCGTCTCTCCCTTTCTTCCTCCCGCCTGCGTTAGCGGAACCGGCATCGACAATTTAGGCGGCTTATGCGGATACGCATGTCCCTACGGATACTGTCCCATCCACAGCTGCACATGCACAGCTCAAGGCGTGCTTAATGCACCTCTACCTACTATTGACGGAGCTGGCACTGCGGCCCCGGGCTTGGATGATGAGTTGTATGATGGTCTGTGTAATTTCGCATGTAGTAGGGGGTATTGTCCAGATGGCGCTTGTGAGTATGTTTCGGCGAGTAATGGGTTGTTGAGGAATGCGACGGGGGTTGTGAATGCAGGGTTTAGGAATGTGACAAAGGTTTTTAATGGGACGGTTGTGAGGGGTAGGAGATAGTTTTGGGGAAGGAGATGGATTCTGAAGGGGGGGGGGGGGGGGGGTGAGAGTTGGATATCAGGGTTACTGGTACGGGGGACTTGGAAGGTGGAGTAGGGTTTTATGCTGGGACTTTGGAACTGGATTTGGGAAGGTTTTCTTTGGTAACATGTAAAGTTTGGGATTGGGATTTGGATATGAGGACGATTGGCTTGTTATTTGACTTAACTACTGCGAAGTTTGTATCTGATTGATTTTTAGTTTTGTGTCTGCTCGGATGAATCATTATGTGAACTATGCAATTTGAAACTCGTTTAAGTTTTGATTTAGGCTGTTGGGTTACGGTGTATGAGCTCAGCTTGGGGACTGAGTATATGCATATGTTCCTTTTAGATAGAGGTGCGAGAAATTTACTAGGTTATATACCTACCTAGGTACCCCAACCAGTGGGTGTACGGACTAACATGGCATTTCTTATCTTTCAAAATCTTTAACGAATTCAATCTCCAACTGTTTCATTTCAGAATCTATCTTTTTATATTCAATTTTTAATAAGTCATTCTGATAATTCTAAAGATATACGAGTAGCTATGTGAAGAGATATTTCAAGTCCAATTTTGAAATGTCCTGTTAGTTCGTACAACCACTGGTATCTCCATGATCTCCATGATCTTAATGATATCAGTATAGAGTAAGTAGTACACACTCGGGCCCTTGGGGACTCGAAAGCAGTTCTTGTGCTCTTTGATTTACACGACGATACAAGATTCACAAAAAACATACGTACTGGGCCTGCACAGCCTTCGTCTTCATATCTCGTCATAATTATCATTCATGATAGTCTTAAGGACTTTTAGAGAATACCTTGAAGCCGTTGTATAGTACAACTTTCTAATGGATAAGTTTAGATCTTCACAATGTTTTTGGGCGTCCCGAAAGAGTGACCGACTATGGTATTTTCAAACTGGATTCTGTTTCTGCAGTCTTATATTCCTCTGTCCATACTTTTCTCCTACTGTTCCTTGGTTGGAAAGTATGCCATCAATCCACGCATCGACTGGTAGTCAATCAAGCTGATTCATATGCAAGTCATCACATCTCACCTATATTTGTCCGCAGATTACACGGCATCTTTCTCTTCCTACAAAAGAATCGCTGATCGGTCAAACATTCGATTTTATTACCAAGTTTTAATATCATGTATTTCTGATCACCTGGAGGTGGTGCGACCCGTCTTAACTTCTATTCTGTGTAAGTATAAGGCTGCGAATCCAACACGGCCTGGCTATGCTGTATCGTATCTGTTTGATAGTACAGCATATCTATATATCCGCGCATGGCCCCGACCAAGGCTCAACAAACAATTTTAAAGCACGAGGTGTCTTTGAATCTTTGCCTAACCTTCCGAAAACTTCGCCGTCCACATACATATATTGACTACACCCAAGTCTGGGACTTTTCTCATAAAATCTCCAATCAACATCGATCCGAAATTGAAGATTGGCAACTCCTTACAGGATGCCTAATCTAGAGCCTTATAAGCACAAACGACTTGAGTCTCCTCGATCCATTCGTATTCTTAAGCTTCTCCCTTTAGTAGAGCAAAATGCGCCCATTCAATTTCGTCTCAAGGAACTCGACATCAACAAGTATGCATCTCACCACTATGAAACTCCAGGGCCTGATGAAGCCCTCTCGTACGTTTGGGGCTCGAGAATTGGTTCGATACCCATCGCATGTGAGGGCAAGTCTCTTCTCGTGACGGAAAATTGTCACAGTGCTCTAGTCCGTCTACGACGTCGGTTTCGGAGTCGAGCTCTCTGGATTGATTCTATTTGCATCGACCAGGAGAAAAGTAAGCCATCGGAGGAAGAGCGCACTGTACAAATACAACTCATGGGCGAAGTATATTGCATAGCCAGTTGTGTTATAGTTTGGCTAGGACAATGCTCAGTCTCGACGAAAGGAATTTTGAGGATACTACAGGCATCCACAATACTAGAGCTGATATATAAGAGAGTATCAAATATCACGATTAACAGATGGAGACAAGATATTTCATAGAAAATCGGCGACCAACTACGAGGTAATAGTCAATCGAATCTTACGTATCCTGATGAACTTTAAATAATCGTTGAATAGAAGGAACGAAACTTCATCATGGTTGGATTGAATTGCAAAATAGTCCATGGTTTTCTCGCTGTTGGACCATTCAAGAAGTGGCATTTTCCAGAAAATGCGTTGTCAAATGGAGATCATCCTCTATTCACTGGCAACTTTTATACTCTGGTTTGATTGTTGTTGAATTGGTGAAGATTATAGACTCTGGCATCAACAGTGGTCATTTCCCGGCTATCAGTATTCGGGAACGATTAAGATCGATTTCACCAGATGCCAAAACATCTCTCGTGATGAGATGCATCCGATTGTCACAGAAGAGATCATCCAATCCAACTCCGCCCCAATTGACCGAAACACAACATCCTTGGCCGAAATCATTCGATATAGAAATGAACCTCCTATCATCGGTATTAGAGCATGATGCAACAGTCCCCATGACAAGATATTCTCCATATACCCCTTGCTTCGATTTCGGAATCTGGATCTCCCTGAAATCAGCTACGATCAACCTTTCGAGATGCTATGTGAGGAACTGACTAGATGCTGGTTTCACTCAACACTAAATCTAAACATCATTCTGCTCGCTGCGCGACTGTCTAGTGATGATTCACGTCTGCCGTCTTGGGTACCCGATTGCGGAAATCGACAGTCAGCGCTTGACTATAGACTAACCATCTATAAAAGTGAGCTTGGCTACTTTCATGGCAAATCTCATGAGGGTATTCGTGCATCAAATGGCTCTCTGCTAGATGAGCCTCCTAAAATAATAGCCGGGGAACTTCATCTACAAGGTCTGAGTCTAGGCCTCATTTTGCATGTGCTTATTTGCGATATTCCTAATAATTTATCTGTATCACAATCAAGACCTGAGGCACTCAGGGTCTCTAGAGCTTGGTGTTGTGCTGTTGACGCTTCATCTCTCTACTCTACACGCCATGAATCACAGAACGCATTTCTTTCTACCATATGTGCCTCTAGTGGTATGCATTATATAAGAGAACCAATGTTCATGGCAGTATTCGGGTTTTTATATGACTTGATGCTTTTATTCAGATTGTCAGCTGTTAGATCCAGCAGAAGCTAAGGAAGCTTATGAAATTTTTCTGTCCGTGGAAGGTAGAGATGAACTGCATTTGAAGGGTTTTTCGGAGATCGCCATGTTCTTTCATATCTCCTTGATCAACAATCAGAGTCCCGACCCTGGTCACCTTTCTAATCTCCCTTCAGAGCTCTCCGTGGTTGACGTTTTTAGCGAAATCATAGGGACAGCAATCATAATCTCAAACAGAGTTGGCAACCTACAGAATAACTCTCTCTTTATTCTTGACAGTTGCTCGGTTTAGCTGCCTACACAGCACAAGAAGGCGACGAAGTTTTTCTACTGAAGGGACTAGAAGTACCAGTTGTCTTACGACCTATATGTGAAAATTACTCATTCATTGGTCCTTGTACGTATATATATGGAGTTATGGAAGGTCAAAGGTGACCGGAGGACGAATCTGAGCTGCGAGATATTGTTCTTGTTTAGACTTGTTTAGACTGGAACTGTGGATTCGGAGATATGTTTTGCCACGGTATAATCTGTTATTGAGCGCGAGTATAGTCTATTTTAATTGCGTGTGCATTGGTTTTGAAGTAATCTTATCTCTATTTATTCCCATGCATGTCATTCTCATTTTGCAGAGTACTATCACGGTTTCTCAGAATTTAACTCCTCTTCTCTCACTAGTATTTCTACAATTACACTAGCGGATTAAATACATATTTCTCATCTTTACACCATAACAATCCTATTCATTGGATTCCATCCTTCCAGTGAGTAACTTGTGTTCTTTCTTTCAAATTGCTCAATCCATACTCGCTTAATTCATTCTTCCAGAATGACACGACGAGAACACTGTAAATTATGATCGGAGTGCACTCTTTCTTTTCTTTCATCTTTCCCTGTGAATATCGCTTGCTTCCTCCTTCATGGCATTTCTGTTCTTCAAAATCTAGTATCTCCCTCCCTCCCTCCCGCTCTCCCCTTCCAGCTTCCTCGAGCTCCTCGTCAATTTATCTCCGTCAAGTTGCCTTCGCCAGCCCGATAAACTCTTTTCTTTCGGGTCCAAGCTTTTCTTTTCCCACACTACACATATCACAGACCTACATGCGTCAGCTAACGATCCAAAACCCTTTGCAAAAGGTGCAGATAGTCTGGATACCTAGTGAGCAAGGGGAATTTAACTACAATACTATTCGCACTGGCTTTTGAACAAAAACGACATTATCTAGGTTCCCCTATTCGCTTCTACCTATGAGTTTGAACAGCTCAAGAATGATGACTGAGATGATTTGAGATGCTATATATGATGTATCTAACGCGATTCTACTCACTACCACTAAACGACATCCAGCTTATATATCTATACACGAAGAGCAACTTGAACCTGAATCAGACACATCAATTCATACGGAGTATACTAGTCTTTTCAATTCCAAAAACAGAAGTTCGCCTCTTACCCCCTATGCAAAAACCATTCACCAAGAAAAACTAAACTACACCACATCATCTACCAGCTTTCAAAGTCTCAAAATATTATCTCATCGCTCTATACAGCCTGAAGCCTTTAAAAAACCCACGTAGTAAGCATGACTCTAATGACTTCTACTACTTACCAGTTATTCACCATCAAGACATCTACACACCTATACATCTATACATCTACACACCTACACACCTACAAACCTACACACCTACACATCTACACACCTACATACGCCCCAAGCCAAACCAAACCAATCTGATTACTCGAATAGAACTCATACCTGTGCAAAAAAGAGAATTAAACACGTGTGTAAATTTAATGATGATGTATCCCCAGTATCCATCCATCTATACATGCCTACGTATGCCTCCATGCACATACACAATCATTAACACCAACTACATCAAGAACCCATCCCAACAGCATAAAAAATACTAATAATCTCAGACCTTTCAAAAAATCTCTCTCAGCCAACCCAAGACACCTACTCGTATGAAATCTCATTATATTATATCATATCATATCACATCAAAAAATATAAACATATATATATACACACACAATAACATACACACACACACAAAAACAAAAACATCTCAAATCTCAAATTTCAAACTCCTCAAATTTCAAACCCCCTCAAAAACGCTCCAGGAATCTCAAGTCGAGTTCATGTATGCACACATGATATCTGCAATCTACGATTTGTGACTAAGGATCTGGCATAGCAATGAAATCTACTCAAGTACACAATATCCATTCGTTCATCCATCATAATTATCCGTTCATCACACCCATCCCTATGTAAGCAATCAACCGACTAAGCAACCAATCAATCAACCAACCAACCAACCAATTCATCCATCCAAAAGCAAAAATAGCAAAATATCCTGCCGGCCACCCGCCACCCAACCATACATCAACCTGCAATTCTCTCTTTCTATCCTTCTATCCATGTCTACCTATGTAAACATGCAAACATGCAAAATATACGACCAAAACATGCAATAATCATCAAGAAAATGGGTATCGCGTGTAAATCTAGATAACGATCGAGAATATGTACTCATCCATCTATCTCTGTCTCCAGATGCTCACATATGGATTTCCTTTCGCACTCCGTTTCCAATTCCCCATTTCTCTCTCGCGAATTCTCGGAATACTTTCTGCTCGGCATGGCACGATACGATATGTCGCTGTTTCCCCACTGACTGTAACTAAACCCCCACCGCGGCCCTCGCCTCCCTGATAATCCTCTCCAGATTCTCCCCTCCATCCTCCACCCTCACCGTCGTCGTACGCTCAGGATGTTTTCCGCATCTCCGCGGTTTACTCGGTTTCCCCCTCCAACAACCATCTACACCCTCTCTTCCCTTTCCTCCAAAATTTCCCTTCATCCCACAGTATTCTCTCTGCAAGGGTCCCGTCTCCATAAACTCTCGAATGTGCATCCAGAGTTCGCAGCGACCCTTGCCGCAATGCGTACACATCTTCTCGGTCGATTTCGTGAACGCGTATTCGAGGTTATTGGGTCCGACGCGACGGGTGTTGAGAGGGAGAGCGGTGCCGTGGATGGCGCGGTAGATGAGATATGTATGGCGGGAAGTGAGAGCGAGACAGGTGGCATCGATGGGGTCTAGATGGGAGAAAATTTCTAGCTTGAGTTCGTTTGGAAGGGTGGGGAGAGTAATTTTTTCGGTTTCTTCGTCGACGGCTTCTTCATCTTGTTCTTGCATTTCTAGAGCTTGAGAGAGAGATTGAGATGCTTGGAGAAGTTGTGAAGGCATAGACATGGGCACGAGACTTAATCTTCTTGTGATTTCCGGACTTGGCACGATGGATAATCGACGAGTCATCTCGGGGGTAACTTCGAATTTCCAGTCACTTTCTTCCTCTGTATCTCCATCCACATCACCATCCTCAAAATCGGAAGACGCTCCAGAAGAATTCTCAGTATCGGTATTAGGAAGACTCTCCAGATCCGCAGTCTGTGAAGCCGGGGAACCTAAGCCTAGACCAGGAACAGATGAAGAAGTAGCCGTATTAAATGGGGAAGAAGTCATGAGATCTCTCAACATGGACTCGAGACCCGTTTCAGAGGGTTCAGGGTCCGAGCTTGTGGTTCCCCTTGGTGATGTGTGGGGAGACATGGTGAATTTTCTTGTGGGAAAGATGGGGTAATGTGAGGTGGTGAATTTGATGGATCGTTTGATATAGAAATGATGGTGTGGTTTTTGCAACACAGGTTTGTTTGATGAGATTTCAATCTCGTCAAGATGTATTTGTAACTTGATTGCAGAAGATCGATGATTCAAAAAGCGGTGTTGTCTAGTATTTGAATCAGTAAAGAATCCGGGTTTGTCCAAAGATTGACTCACTCTTCCTACTAAATATCACTCCAGGGGCGACAATATCATCGATTTCTCGTTCGTATATGTATATATCTCGTGATTCCTAACTCTCGTGATTCCTATCTTATATTGAAACTTTAAACTCGTGGCAATTTCCACAAAGTAAACTCTCTCTTGAATATACAGTCGTGTGTGGGATGATTCGTCGAGTGATCCAATCTATACAACAAGTATAACCTCCTTTCGCATATAAAATCTCTCGCTTGAAATCCGTGTCTTCGTTTCGTCGTTCAATCGTCTATTCGTCTAATCGTCAATGGTTTAATGGTATGTATACGAAGAAGTTCAAGTTATCCCAAAAACCATCTCCAAAAACCAGACATGACCTAACTATTTAGTATCCGCCCACCCCGGAGTCTCTCACGCACCATTTTAGCCCGGAACCCTTCTCCCATGAATCCAACCAGGACCCAACATCGGATTGACCACTCAGGACCCTTCTTGCGGTGAAAAATCGGAGCTCCCATTTGCCTTCCAACCTTTTCTTCACTCGAATTGACCCACTGTTGATCTCACTAAAAGCGGATTGAAACCTCGATAGCGTAATTGATCCGAGGCTTTGAAAGGGTAGCCGTGGGATCTTTTGAATGAGATCCGTGACTCGGAAGTGCTCGTACATGACTCGATGATTAGGTAATCTCAGGGTTTCGATTCTGACTAGAATTGAGTAAGGGGGAGTTATGAAGAACCATGGAACAATCATGTCAAAATCGCGTCTATTTTTATATATTCTGTATCTGCTGGCGATGAGGTAACATATTTTTATATACTATCGAGACTATCCGGGTAGATAAGATGTAGATCGTTGTAAAGCAATGCAACTCCGACAATGTAAGGCAACCAAGACTCACCGACACTTTTCCGAGCTAATGATATGATACAGTACCATCTTTTCGGAATAGTATCGTACATCTTGAAGGTGCGGTACTTCTAGTCTGCCACCCAGAGTTGGTTTGGAAACGGGATTATAAAGATCACACCACCGTACTTGAGAAGAGTGCCAAAAGAGCTACTTTCTCATCTTGTTGTCATGTAGACCAATCAACAAAATCAGTTCGTACATCAAAATGAGTAAGGGTACATCAGGCAATTTACCAGCCGATTCAATACTGACATCCAATACCACCTCAACATAACATGGTCAAATGCTCAAATAGAAAAGTGAAATGAATGAAATGGTACAATTGGTTCGCATAAGCCGCCAAAGATTATCGAATTTACATCATATCAATCAAACTTGTCTCCTGCCAGGATTTCTTCCACTGACAACAAACAGTCGATCGACTTCCATCATCTCAATTGCGACTGGAGCGCAAAGAGTGCGAATCATATACCCCATACCCCAAATTCTCAATGTTATATCCCCCATTCTTCCCCACACAAAATCTGGAATCATCCCTCCATCATCTACTTTCAATATATTGTCCTTAACCCTTGTATCCTCCAGACGAATCATTCATATTGATCAAACCCTTCTATCCTCCAATCTCCATCCCCATCTCATAACCTCTTACCCTACAACGCAATCCAAATAACACTGATAACCACATCCAGGCCCTTATTCTCACCGCCCTCATATTTAAAACTCCACATGCCATCCGTCTTCTCGTTCCAATAAGCTCCCGTCGCACTGTGCATTCCCCTCCTTCCTACGTGAGGTTTACCATCTGTACTCTTGGCATCTCCTTGTGCATCACTTGTTGTTACTTTCGCATCGTCTGTTGTGTCTTCTGTGGTTGTTGGAGGTGATGCTTTGGATTTGTTGAGTGAAGAGGTAGGGACTAGATGTTGAATGATGGTGGAATTGACTGCATATTTGAAAGATGGGGAAGCGCCAGTTGAAGGTGTAGATTCGGAGATGAGGGATTTGAGAATCGAGTTCTGTGGGGAGGAGCGGTTAGATAGTTACGCGTTGTACTGCGGCGGGTTTGTTGTCTTTGTAGGAGGAAGGGTTGTATACATACAACGATGGTAGTATTCCAAGATTCGGTCTTGCTGTGTTCATAGAACTCTGCACTTCCAAGTGCATTCTGACAGGCCTATTTCATCATTCTCAGTATGCCATCCAGTAGAAAACATCGCCAACACAATATATGTTGGGGGGGTATTTAACAAACTCACATCACTTGCGATTTGTCTCAATCGTGTGTATGAAATTGGCTAGATGATACAATCAGTTCCATCTTCTTTCATCCCCCCTCCCTCCCAATTCAACCTCGACTAGAAACTTACAGGAGTGGCCATATTCGCTGTGTCTTTTTTTGTAAATGATGTAATAGTATGATAATTTGTTACTCAATCTCCAATGTCAATGTTGTTGAATCTTTCCCTTTGTTTTATTATGATTGCGAGGCTTAAGCTTTGATTTCCCTACCAGGCACGCCAGGGCAACACAACACAAACAAGGAGCTAGCTATCCGGTTTCGAGTGAACGTGTTGCATCACTGTTGATTGGTCAAGTGTGATAGTCCCAGAAAGCTCTACGCATTGTCCAATCATATCGCATCGGTAGAAACGTGTTAGAGAGTGGGGCCCATCTCATCTCATTTATGAATTCAGCCCAGAAGAAAGTAAATGTGAAGGTTAACTTTCCGAATCATCTTCCAATGCAACTTCCCAGCTTTCTTCATAATTTCACAACTTCGGATTCACTGAAAGAGTTTTCGCTCACGGATTCTACGAAATCGAGTACGAATATCTGCCACTAAGAAGAAGAAGGGTTTCTAAAGCGACTATACCTCTACCATCTCGTAGTACGGTTTTTGGTCGAAGCAAGCAATCGGGTGTCTTAAACATTTAATCCTTATCGTCATACCTCATACACACAATTCGCAACCAAATCTCATTCTATTCAAGATGTCGAGTCAACCACTTCTTCAAACTGCGCCTGGTTAGTTCTCTCAATTCTCATCTCTCCAAGAGAGTTTCGCAAAATGCAGATGCTTCAAGCTCCCGCAAGCTCCAACTTTTTTTTTAATCTATTCCCAACTCCAAATCCCATTTTCCCCTCCCACCCAACCTCCTCAAACTAACCTCCCCCCTCTCATAGGAAAACGCATCGCGCTCCCCACGCGCGTCGAACCCAAAGTCTTCTTCGCCAACGAGCGTACCTTTCTCTCCTGGCTCAACTTCACCGTCATCCTCGGCGCCCTCGCAATCGGCATGTTGAATTTTGGCGATCGTCCTGCCTTCATCTCCGCTTCCATTTTCACAGTCATCTCCATGTTGACAATGGGATATGCGTTGTATACGTACCATTGGCGTGCAAAGAGTATTAGGTTGAGAGGACAGGGAGGATTTGATGACCGGGTCGGTCCGACTGTGTTGGCTTTGGTGCTGTTGGTGGCAGTGGTGGTGAACTTTATTTTGAGAATTGTTTACGGGAGGGATTGAATAGGAGGAGAACAGAGAAGGATGGAGGGGAAGTGGGAAATATGAGAAGGGGGAAAGCTTGTAGTTGTGATTGTGGTTGGAAAGGAGATGGGTAGTAAAGGGTATGAGCAAGCGAGAATAAGGGGCAGACTATGGGTTGAGAGTCGAGGACATATTGCTGATGAAGGAGAACGTTACAATCGAGAAGCGATACATAATTATTACTGCCAGACCAGCAGTATATCAACTGCTTACATGTATGTATATTGGACATTCGCAGGAAAATGTAGTTAGTTATTCACCTGAGAGCGAGCTTATTTAGATGGGGAAAGGTGGAAGTAATCACATCACCAAATAGTGATAACTAGCCGTAGCTGGCATGTCATATAAATGTATGTATATTTTTGGGTCTGAATTAACACGCTGGGCTAAGGCTTTCATATTATGTATTGGTGCATCGCTGAGTGTGCGCTGATGTGTATGCACCCCCGCTGATATCACTACCATCCTGCTACCCTTGAAAGCAAGTATTTGGGTATCTCCATCTATGAATATTTCCTCCCGGGTCCGTCAAACGCCAAGTTCCTTTTCAATTACGGTCCATCCATTCGGTCATGGTATAATACACCCTTCCTCTCCTCTAGCCGTGCGATGGCTCGATCAAGTCAAGGCATTAGTTTGCTCTCTAAACTTTTGGATTAGTTACTGTACGGTGCGAATGTGGTTCAAATAAAGTGGTTATACATACCCATACATCTTCTTCAAGCTTTCAATCCTAACTCGAGATAGATAGAGAGTAAACGTAGGCACAGCTCGAATCATAGGTCTATTTTCTGCCTCGAGTGCTCTCTCAAATGGAGTTTTCATGGTTTCAAAAGCTTCCTCCTCTTCTTCTTCCCCATCCTTCATCTCTGTGTCTCCATCCTTCTCATCTCCAGTCTTCTCAGCTTCTGCAGTATTACTCGGAATAGTAGCAGTTAATTCTCCAATAACATTATATTGAAACCACTTGGCGCCATTCTTCGCCAATTCCCGCTTAGCTATCTCTGCAATAGTAATGAGTTTGCCTGCAACAGGTGCTTTGGCAGATAAAAGCACGACGTGGGGTGCTGGATCTGAGAAGGAAAAGGTACTGAGGATCGAGAGGATGCGCGAGGCTTTCTTTTGGATCTGCGAGGAGGAAAGGATAGACAGTTCGGTTGTTCGGTGTGTGTGGTTTAGATCATGAGGTGCAGGAATTTGACGCTGCCCTCCAGGTGTGGACGATGCTGGGACGGAAGAGGAAAGGTCATTTTGTGCTCGATCTTGAGTGTCTGGAGCAACACAGGGAGATTGATGAGAAGATATCTTGGTAACAGTTGTAGTTGCTCTTGCTTTTTTCGAGGGTCGATCTTGTTCCTGGAAGACGGAGGGGAAATTTCCTTTGTCTCTTGAGGCACCCTCTGCCAGTTCGCGTTTGCGCTTTTTATTCTCTCGAAACTCATGCCCCGCTTCGCCTCTGCGAGCTGCGCCCTTGGTTCGTGCCATTCTCGTCCTTGTCGGTATTGAAATTCGAAGTTGCGCTGTATTATATCTTTGAGTATGAAGATTAAGGTGAAAGTTCCAGCTTGCAAGATGAGAAAAAGTATGGTAGCTTGGAGATACAGTCAAGGGATGAATGTGCGAGGTTCGCTAATGGAATAGAAAGAAGTCATATAATAAAGAGTGAAGATATTATTTGTTTACCTTTGAAGGAAGACTCTGGAAATATCAACTCGACATCTTGAGAGGACTTAGGTTGAAGCATTATCCAGCCTTGGGTAAATTTTGGGCAGCTTTTGGAGAGCATCGGAGGTCGGAAGATTTTAATGAACCAATCAAAAGCCTAGAATTGAGCACTTCACTCGTAGCCAGCAGAGCGGCCGCATCCGCCGCGTCCTCATAGTTTCTAGACCCAGAGAGACTTCTCAATAGTAATAAATTTCCGTCGTTCATTACATATTGAAACTTATCAATTATGTTGTATTCCTTCATCCATTGATCTCATCATCTTCATAATACCAAAGGCTGACAAGAATCTTCTTTATACAGGAACCCGAAATTCATCGGGAAGTCCACAACTGTTTGTCCTGCAGATGTTGTAGAATCGTCCTGCAAGGCTAGACAAAATATCCCGATTCGTTGGGTTCCAAGGTTCGCAGTGACATTGTCCTGTCATGAAGAGGCGCATCATTTCTTCACACCGAGTGTTACATGGATGAAAGCCATAGATTAGTTTGGTCTTTTTTATCATCATCGGCGCTTGGCCAATATTAAATAGATAAGCACATAAGCTTTCCCCCTCATCAAAAAGATGAGTGGGGGGTTTATCACGGCATTGTCTCGTGCATCAATGGATCAATTACTCCCTTTCATATCGACAGCCTCGAAACCCTTATCCGTGTATATTATAAGGTTACGAAAGCGTTGAATGTCTTTCTTTCTATTGCTCTTTCGTTTCGTTTCGTTTCGTGTTCAAGGCTACGCAAATGTCACTGTCACAAGCCTTGTGCATATCGGCCGGTAAATGGTGTACAGTATCAAGCACGATGCAGGAAGGCATCACGAAAGATTCCCCATGGGACCAGAAATGCGCAGCCTCCCGAAGAGGTTGATGTTCGATACACATCTAATAAAATCAAACAAGGGTAGTTGCCCAAGATAGTCTCAGATACAGTTGTTTGACTGAACCTTTCGGGAGCATCCACGCCTCTTTGCCCTGGTCTTAGTTAAACCGTCAAGCCTAGGCAAGCCAATATCAAGATGAACGAGGACGCAAAGTAAGAAAAAAGAGTGTGGTCGTATCGGATATCTATTTGAGAAATTTCTACGATGTGATAGGAATGTAGGTTTATCCACGCGGCCTTCTGTCTTGTCTCTTCGGGGATTCATGGGATTCATGCCAAAGTACCTTTTGGAGAGCACGCACGGTTGCTAATGAAATGGTTCTAATTTTGATGTATAAATCTGGGGCAGCCTTTTCAATATCCTTGGCTTACACTATTAGCATTTGGTCGAGAACATTATGAGTCAGTTTTAGAATAGTGGAAAAGTAACCCCCCTCCAAAGCTCAAAATGAACTAGGTTCAAGTACGTATGAAGTGTATACGCATTAAGCAGAGACCGAGTAGGTGAATGATATGTAGACATGTTGGTGAAGTGGAAATGGCTTCAACACCGCAACATACATAAGAAACACATCACCTAGTGGATTCCTCCCTTCATTTATATACCCAGGAGGTCGATTTCACATGTGCTTCACCTCTACTTCCTCTCCCCTTTTTCCATGTATGATCTACTTTTGGAATCATGCGATACATGGATGAAATAGCACATCCCTCCCATTACCCATACGTTTCGTGGGTCCAACATCTTGCATACGAAGATGGACATCGTCAAAAATGGGTCGTCCATGGAATCAAAGAAGGGGGATCGAGAATAGAAGAAATATCCTTGAATAGTTTAGTTGGGAAGTACAATGGGCCGTAACCGGGATTGCTTATCTTCTTACCCAATGATCTTCCTTCATTTGCTCATTCCAAGATATTTCCCCAAGCAATAATCAGACTGGTAATCCCCGTCGTCATCCTTGCCACCCGGAATGTAAATTATTCACGGGCATTACGGGTGGTAGTGTGGTAGTGTGGTAGTGTACTTTCGTAGTCTGGTAGACTTGGTGAGCATTAATCTTTTTATGGGTCCGCTGAGGACGAATTGGTGAAGGTTGAATGGATGAATGAATGAATGAATGCATGGTATGGAGTGAGTTGAGTTGAGTGATGGATGAGTGATAATCAAATGGAAAAAGAAAAGAGGACTTTGACCTCTTCCAGCGTAATTAATCAGACTTCCCTCCCTAGGTAGTCGAGTCGTGGTAGGTGGGTGGTTGGTAGGCAATAGGTATGTGACACTTTTCCAACTTCAACCACTCGACCAGGAATGAAAAGTTAGACGTCTCATGGGCTTTCCCGTCCTTTATTAATTATTCTCCCTAGGTGATGAACCTATTATTCTAAGCCACCAACGAACACTTCTTCCACTTTGAACAGACACCTTTTTGATTATACTTATAGATTGGAAAATACAATTTACCATTTATAATTTACATTTTACATTTTACAATTTACGATTTACAATTTACAATCTACAATCTACAATCTACACACAATTTATATCCTCCAGCTTTCAATCAAATACAAGCAAACCACCAAACCACCAAAACCAAACCATCAAAACCAAACCACCAAATCTCACTCCGGATTTCCAACCACACTGCCCATCCCATACTACGGATACGATACAATACGATACGGAGGGTACTCAACGAAACATATTGAAAACAACCTCACTTCTTCACTCTTCATATATGTACGACTTGATTTTATAGAATCCCTTTTTTGATCATTCACTCTTCGACTTTCTTCTCTGTTATTTTACTGTAAGTGTTTCATTTTATTTGGAAATTCATTGGTAATAACAGAACCCAGACCACACCAAACGACCCAAAATCATTCGACTTTCCCTTCTCTTTTCTTTTCCTTTCCTTTCCCGCCGCTTTGTGTTACCCATCTACCTACCTACCTAGGATACTTGTATTGTATCTACGTACCGTATCTACTTCTTTTACCGCTTGTCTCTTTCGACATACCGGTAGCATCCATCAGTCTATCAGTTCATCAGTCTATCACTCTATCACTCTATCACTCCATCACTCCATCCACTCTTGTTATTACTTCATTGATTCTTTGACCCATCCACTCCTTGATTCATTCATCCATCCATCCATCCATCCACCCATCATCTCTCTATTCACCCACGCAACCACTCGAGCCACTCAATCTACTCAATCCACTCAATCCACCACCACACCCCGTTGATTAATAAGTGTGCACCACCGCCAAAGACCACCACCCAAACCACTCACGTACCAACGAAAGAACGTTACCGTCTCGCCTCCTTCACTGCTCCCAGCTCTTACCACCTACATGACACTACCTTACTAGGGACCGACCCATCGACCCGTACCTACTTTTATCCAAAATCAATACGTCAACTCCTTTCACATTCCTCATATCCCCCCCTTCCCTCCCGCTCAACACACACCCCCCAATTCGAATTTCGCATCTCTCATACCTACCACCACCACCACCACCACTACCACCACCACCCACACGGTCGCAACATTTCAATCAAAGACAAACCCTTTTATTATCCCCAACGACACGACACCCATTTCTTTCCCTTCCAACACAAATCAAATCAACGACAAAGCCAAAAATTCATACGGCATAATTTCAATTCTCACGCAATCCTTCTTTTGATTTCCAATTCTCTCTACACAATAAACTCTTGTAATTGATTTCCATTTTCGAACTTGTAAATTTTATCTTATTAGACTTTCATTCCGTCACTTTTTAGGGAGGTCCTTATCATAGCATCGACGTCAGTTCGCAAAACTTGCGCTTCCACCACCAGTGAATTTGACTTTTACTTCAACCATATTTTATAGCGCAAACTAAGTCAACTATCAGCGCATTAAAAATCACCCGTTCAACGAAAGTAGTGCCCGGTCGCACATTCACTTAAATATCGCAACTTACTCCTTCCCATTTATATGCGAATGTTTCGCCTGCCATCTTGGATCTCCGAATCCAGGGGTTGCGACCAAGTGTTAGATGGAGAAGTAAAATATAATATGGCAAACGCCGGTCTTTACGAATGCCCAAGTCCTACGAAACGAAAGAGAAGTAGTAGTCCGAACGCTCCGATCCCCATCTTGACCAACACTTCATCATCGACGACGACGACGACGGCGACGACAACAACATCATCTCAAGAAGTGAAACGGAGGAAGCGCGAAATGTCGGAGCAAGGGTGTCGATCGCCTTCGTCGGCGGAAGATGCTGTAATGACAGATATGCAAGAACACGTCGTCGATCTAGGTTTGGTTCGAGAAACAATCGAATCGCAACTCAGCCTCGAGATTCTCATGAAGCATAACGAATTGCGCCTAATCGAAACAGAACTAGCAAAATGTCAAGTCTCTCTGGAACAGTTACGTCGCGCTCACTTGATACCATTCCCAGGCATGCAAGGGGCTGATGCTGAAGCTTCTTCCGAGTCGAGGGTTAATGTTAGTGATGGTACGGGTCCAGCAGTTTGGAGTGGCGACAAAGTTCCAAAGTGGGCTCCGCCGTATGGAATTACCGAAGGACCGTACACAAGACATTGGGCAAAATGGTTAATTCCTGATCCTGCTTTTGATGGTATTGATATTGTTGATTCACGTGCAGGTCCGGGAAGGCCACGCGCTGGCAAGTCGATACCAGAAGGAAGAGCTACTAGAAATAGTATCGCTGAAGGAGGTAATGTCTCATCTAAATCGAGATCTCGTGGATCTCACAGTTTGCAATCTCTTTCCACCGGTCATGTTCAACCAAAGAAGTCTGGACCATGTATTCTCAAGCGGAGTGATGGTAAAACGGTTAAGCTTGTCTGCCTGACTTGCAATCGCGAAGATTTCTCCAGTACTCAAGGTTTCATCAATCATTGTCGCATTGCTCATCATTGTGAATTCAAGAGTCATGAAGAAGCTGCTCAGACTTGCGGACATGTTATCGAAGTCGATGAAGCTGGTGCAGCTCCTATCTTGGAGAAGAGTCCAAGTGCACCACCAATTGGAGACGGTGTTCATCCTCTCATTAAAAGTACGCCCGTCGATCAAGAAGCCTATACTGCTCTTCGGTCTCGTATCGAAGATTCTATGAATCTGTACCTACAAGGCAGGCTCCCTGGTGTGACTTCGATTCCTGGAAGTGCAACGTCATCACCACAAAAGCAACCCGTTGTGAAACCCAAAGTGCAACCTCCAAGGGAAAATTTCAAACCATCAACCGCTACACCTCATCTTTCCGAGCTACTAAAAAGCAGAGGCTTTGGTGGTGATCTTGATGAGATAGTGGGTGATGCGAAAACAC